ACACGAGTTGACGATGTGTTCATAATTTTTTGCAGCTCGCTTCGTTCTGAGAATAATTCATTTCGATGGTCGATTGATCAGAGTCCTCTTGGAAGCGGGTCTGATCATCGCTCACCTGTTCTACTTGCGAACGTGATCCTTAGACTGTTGATTTTACGAACTTATGAGAAGAATAAGGGGGTGAAATAGTAAAAACAAAAAGGTTTAGAAACATTGTTATGTTATTTTCAAGCTAAATTCAATTTATTAAGGAAATGAGTTTCTGTTTGATTACGCGGTATCGTAAATTGGGGATTTTTACTGCGTGGAAATCTACGGTCTAGCGATCATGCTTGTTGCATAGCGAACGTTTTATTGCTCTAGAAAGATATGTTTTCAAATAAGAGCAATTTTTATCAATTGAATTTTACATTTTTCCGTAGGAAGGAAACTTTGGAATTTATTTAAGGACTACACTTGTTTAAAAACTGTAAAGATCTAGCACTTGAACAATCGTTTACAATGTTTAGTAACTTTAGGTAACTTGAATCATGCCACCGGTTGCAGCACGCAGCATGTACAGGGTGTCCGAAATGATTTACACGGAACAGTGTCAGTAAATTCCGGGAATGAAAGTAAAAGGAAATGATCTTAGTCATGTTTTACTAAAAAAATAAAATAGAAATGGTTACAATCGTAAGCTTCCAATGAAAATGCTGACCGGTTTTTCCTTCGACACACGCGACACGAGCTAATTGCCGGTGTTTTTCTAATCGTTTCACGCAATGTGTGCTAACTAATTGAGGTCAGCGCAAGCAGCGTTTAGCGGCTTTAAAGGAAAAATTTTGCCTGGGAAATATTAGCACCTTGAATTCGCAATGCACTCGCTGGGACGAGAGGAAAGCGGCAAGAACCACGCCATGGAATATTCATAAGAACTAGAAATGGAGCTATGGTAAACGCTGTCAATTTCTTCTCGTCCTTGAACGAAAAACCTGTTCGGTGCTGTATTAACGTGTCGCCGACATGTTCGACTCTTTACGAGAGCCACAGTAAAATTCCCAATAATTTCTCCGTCGCTGAAATATGTTTGCACGATGTTTAGATAAACATTTATCGCTTGGCGACTTCAATATTGACAATGTTTCCGTTACGCCATTTCGTATCGTCATGTGAAACCGTTAAAGAATCGCTCTACAAAATTTTAACATAGCTTTCGCGTCCACGATACACCTTAAATATTCAGAAAACTGCATTTTTAAAGAGCGACATAATTTTATTAAACCAAAAATACAGCAAAAATTTCATTTTTACATAAAAGAATTCTTTAAAACGTAGAAATTGTCGGATCAACTGCGAGCGACAGAAGTTGAATAAAAATGTATCGTTTCTATTAATAGTTTCAACGAATCGAGGAAAACGTAAGAATATACTTAAATCCTTCCAATCTTATGACTGTTTGGTATTTCGCCAAATCAATATTGCGACGAATGCATAGTACATACAGGGACCATAAGTCCACGTGCTATTTAAACACATATAGCTCTGTATCAGTAAAAATGTCGAAGGGCAATCGATAGAGCTTGCGTCTGATAAGATCTCTTACTTTTGTCCGTGCTTTCTGGCACCGTTCGAGACGGAAAATCGAAAATAACGAGGACACTCTGTACAGCGTCGCAGGATTACGCGTGACCTTGGTCGGTCTTCTTAGCCGAGAGACAAAGGGAAGCGAATATGGGTCGGTGCTTTAACGAAACGTTCTGCCAAACCTAGTGCCAACTGATACTGCTGGAATATGAGAGTGTGTCCTGATATCGACCTGGTTTCCATGGAATACGTGAATGAGAGGAGTAGCTTACGGTCCTCTGATCAGGGAAGCTCCGCTTCCTCGTCGTCGTTGATCCCGCAGGGACTTGGGCGCAGTTATGGATCGTTTTCCACGTGTCAGCAGGCGATACAGTCATTTTGGAGCAAAAGCAAACAGGTATCCGATAATCGTACATTGAAAATCCCTTTGACCGTGAAGTGTTTCAATACGGTGTCCTCGAGAAAGAATAACTTGGGGAAAGGATAGTAAAGGATTCGCTCTTTCAAACGAGCCTAGGTAGCTCGTTGTAAGATTGGTTTTCACGAAGTTATAATAGTTTGAATATTAACAACTTGTTTACTTAAGATTTAGTGCTCTGGTTGTACGTTCCGAGCGGACTCATTGAGTCCGCTGTTGCCGGTTGTTTCAAAAAAAAGAGCCTTCGGAGATAAAGTAGAAGCTTCGTTCTTTAAAATGAGCTTAGGTAGATTTCTGTATGATATAGTTTGACGAAATTACACTGGATTAAACATCGACAGTTTTCACAGAAGAAAAACTGGTGTGTGTGTGTGTTCAATTCATCCACACACAAGAATTCTTTGGGAAAAAATAGCATAGAGGTGTTAAAATAGAAGCTTCAACCTTTAAAATAAAGTAAAGTAGATCATTGTACCATTTTTTTCAAAAATTTACTACAACTCGAATACCAACGATTTTTCGCTCAAGAAAAACTGATATTTGATTTAGACCATGGGCGTATAATACGGTAAATAATTTTTCAGTCGCACAACGAAATTCTTTAGGGAAAAAGAGGTGAGTGAAAGTAGAAGCTTTGCCCTTTAAAACAATTTCAATTAGATCTCTGTACGAATTTTCGTAACGAAGTTACGACACCTCGAACATCGACGACTTTTTACCTCGAGATTGAGCGATCACTTAATTATGACCGTGGTTGTAGAAAATTGCCGGGTCGGAGCACCGCGTATATCTTCTGTCGCAACCATAAACGTCCACCACAGGTGGACCAGAACTGAATGAGCAGTTCTACCGTTCAGGTGGAATGTGCCAAGATTTTTCGACGTGTCCCGAAAGACAAACGACGTCGGCATCAGTGTCGTCGGGACATTTGTTGCGCGGATTACGCTCGATTACCACGGCTGTCCGTCCACTCGATGACGGATTTAGCGCTGCTAATTACAAGATAAGTTTACAAGGCTGAAAGCTTGTAAAGAGGCGGCGCTCTAATTAAATCAGCCGCGCGGAAGTTTTGGAAGGCTCGGTGATTAAGTCGAGACGCCTTCGAAGCCCGATGTTTGTCGTTCACTTCTGTGTTGCTCTTGATGATTTCCTGTGACTGAAACATAGCTCGTCGTCAAGAATATTTATGCGCTCGCTTGGGGCATACTAGTTGCCCCTTGCAACAGTTTTGCATCGTTTCATCTCGCTGGAATTCTGTTATTAACGTCAAACCAGCCGAGCACTGAAGAAGATGTCTCTGCCACGTGTTGCTTCATACGAGTTACAAGAGTGAATTTATTTCAATCATTTCCTACGAATGACTTTTTATCATTTCTAAGATTATTATCATTACGCACCATTTATTCCAGGAAAAATAAGTTAATTTTTATCACGTCGACTGCGAACCTCGAGATGTCTTGTGGTCATTGCTAACAAAAAGGCGGCATGAAAAGGATTTATTTATTACTTTTTACTTATTATTATTGATTGATTTATTTTTTTTTAATTTTGGCGTCTAGAACAGATTTCTCCAAAACAGACTTCGCAGTCAACGTGTTAATATTTCAAAGAAATTTTTGTTCAGTTTGCAATTGTCGTTGAACATTGCTGTTTCACGTAAAGGTACATTGATGTCGTATATAACACAAACAACTTCTTAATAGAAATCTCTTCGTAACTGAAATATTTCTATTTGAGTGAACACGAGGTTCGAACGAACCGCAAGCATAAGGAAGAGGCGGTCGCAATTGCAGCCGCCTGTTTTCCTACGCGCAGTTGTTCCTTTTTATGGGCGTCGGTAAACGATGACACTCGCACACAATTGATTAGCGAGCGGAGAGACTTAATTGGCCCAAGTGCCGCGACCAGCGCAAGGACGACACACGCGGTTAGAGCTGTGCTGGCTGAGAAAATATTTTTCTAACCGGGCTACGCCTTTTAAACAGCCGCCGCATACTGCGCAACCTTTCAGTTAATTTTTATCGGACCCGATTCCACGGGCACCGAATAAGCCGCAGTTTGAGCTGCACTTATCGGCCAATGTAAACGCGCCAGCTGAATGAGGTGCGAATTTATGGTTTGTCGTCGCAGTTCCAACAGCTTCTATATAGAATAAGAAATAACATTTCATTTGCGAGCAAGAAATAGTAAGTACAATAGTAATTTCATTTGTAATTTGTTATTTATCATGGAATATAAAATTTGTCCAATTTCGCTCGTCGAAAAATTACAGTCGGCTTCGTCGCTGCCCATCTCCGCAAATTTTCCCAATTTCTGGATAGAAAAAATACTACGTCACAACTCGAACTTTAAGAAACAAACTGCAAAAAGTTGCGTTTAAATATCTCTTCTATTTTTACCGCAAAAAAATCACAAAGATGATCTTTAAACGACCGAATAGGAAGTCCTAAACTTACGATTTGTCAAACTCGACTCGGATCATATTTTTTTTCGCGCGATTACGGTTCCGTGGATCGTGTTAAGTACGCGGAGGCTGCATGGCCGACTTCGCCACGTTCTTGTGACCGCATCGCTTTAATTGTTTTTGCCGAAATCGCACCGCTGCCGGAACAAATATTTAACTTCTCCGTCTGGGTCGGCTCCTCGGCGGAGATCGTCGTAGATCGTCGCCGCGCTCCTTCGATCGTTGGATCTACGATCCACGCGCGCGCCGCTCGCGATCTTATCAGCGAGATCCTGTGCAACTGTGCGCGCCAGTTTGGAGATCCCAAGGCGGGATATATAAGCGTGACACGAGCGAGTCGCTAGACAATGTTTCTCGCGCAGTCTCGCACGCGTCTCATCGATCTCGCGGCTGCGATCCACGATCCAGTTCGTTCCTGGATCCCCTGAGAGGACCTCCGCGATCCTGAAGAAAGGAAGTCTGGATCGATGACCGGACGAAATCTGGAGAAAATGCTCAGGCTCACCACTTTGTCGAGGGTCCGTCTTCTTCACGGTATCGATCTATAGATCGCGGATTTATTTAGGATCCAATATACAATCTCGAACTTCAACTATTCCACTCGTGGCCGTGATAATGTGCGCAATGATTGCGAAACGTCGTCAAATTTTTAATGGCTACCTACACGATCGTACAGATAATTATTCTCTCAAGGTTTACGTTCAAACGAGATTCGGCGATTTGAGATTTTCTTTTTAAATAGGCTAATGAAGATATTCGATTAAAACTTTGCGAATTCGTTTAGCATTCTTTGGACCATGCGCGAGAATTTCATTTTGCACGGATCTCGGCTCGGTCCGAAGTTACAGCGATTTTTCAGATGCACCCGAGAAAGTATTACACGACGGGCATAGAAGCGGTGATTGTTGTTTCATTGAGCAAGAAGTTCCAAAAGATCTTTTACCTGCATGCTTCCGACCGTACTGTTCTCCTTGGTGAATTTGTCTTAACTAACATTTCCGATCGTCCAGACGATTAGGCTTTAAATTAATATAAAATCATTTTTATATAAGTGGAAACAAATGAATGGAATCACACATTTGGAAATATATTTTAAAATATCCTGAAAGGTAACAAATTATTAGATAAAACACAATAACTAAGTAAGACGGTATAGTTTAAACTATATTGAATCGAAATTAAATGAACAACTGATAGAAAAATTACTCTGTCAGATAAGATTTCTTGTCTTCGTAGCGAAGGAAGTGGTTACATCGAAGATCCTGCAAACAGTGCCGTCTCAAATAATATCGTAAATCTTAACGAAGCATTTCAGTGACAAACGGTGCCAACAACAGGAACCACAATGTATCATTCTCATTCACGACAACAATACAGTTCGCATTAGAACGTACAGCAGTAACAATAGAACAGCTGTTGCATCGATGTTCGCTCACCAACCGCGCACGCATCTTGCTGAACCTTTATTCGTCCTAGGTGAAACGCTGGGTCACAAACGACCCAGAGGCCCGCACGAACGTCCGTCCAACTTTTTCACAAGGACGAGGCTCGATTTTCCGAGGCTAAGAGCAGCGGCTTTCCCGTCGGAAGAAGAACGGGAACCAGAAACAGCGTTCGATCATCCCGTTGCCCCATCGACATGTTAGACCATCGAACAAAAACGGTTTCCAACATACTCCGTCGCGGCAATTGACGATCATTCTCGATCACGGTCGCGATCTGACCGAAGAAAGAATGCGATGCGGAAGGCCAAAGACGATCGGATCAAGATCACGACGCATCATTTCCGGATCAGCATTGAAGAGGAGGAAGAGGACGAAGAGAACAAGAAGAAACAACCAGCCGGAGAATTGGTTGAAGTGTCGTCGCCGACCTTGACGGGCAGGAGGGTATCGATCAAGATCGAAGCTGAGCCAGGAACGTCTCTAATTGTTGATCCCGAGAGTCTCGATCATCCCGAAGCAGATCAATTGATCAGAGACCGAGACCAGCCGCAGAGTGATCCTCTAAAGATCTTGGAAATCGAGAGGATACTCGGAGACGAGGATGATGGATCCGATGGGAGACCAAGAATTGAAGAGTCTGCAGGATCTGGGGGCTTCGAGGATCCAAGAGACAAGGAGATCGCAGAGATCAAAGGCGCAAATGAGCCGAGGGAGCTCGAGAGACCGGGTTGCCAAGAGAAAGAGAGGGAACCTTTGGCTGCCATCTCCGACCCGACGACTGATCGTGTCTCGGACGCTGGAATCGGGGACTCTGCAGCGTTGATGACGATCGTGGACCGGAATTTGGCCGGGTTCCACGCGGGTAGCCTCGTCGATCTTTCTTCCTCAAGGAAATCCACGGTCGCCGCGACCTTGTACCAAAATGCTGATTCGCAGAAGAGACTCATTCGCGGGCCAAGCTCGGCTCCGCATCATCCTGCCAGGCTGTCCGACTGTACCGCGATCATGCTCAGACATGAGGAACAGTTCTCTAGGTTCATCGAGGCACCCGGATCGAGCCTGATCGACGCGAATGAATCGAGGAAGACGCAGACTCGCGTTGAAGCGGAGTCATTGTCAGGGTCTGAACGTTTAGCTGGCTCTGGAGATGATGCTGGCGAAGTTCCAATCAAGGACGAGGCGAAAGAACAGCTCTGGACGGAGGCGTGGGAGCAGAAAGTATCACGGAATCCTTTGGAGCTGGAGTCTCCAGGGTCGAGAACGTTTGAACAAGTGGTTGGCAATGGAGATGGTAGAAATAGCCCAGCAAAAGACCATCCGAGCTTGGAATCCTCTAGTTCGATGGAGAAACGCGTTCCTGAAGCTGGATACTCTTCGGTGGATGCTGAAGACAGCACTAGAAGGATGTCTCTGAGTGATCGGCTGAGATCTTGGAATCACATGGAGAGAAGAGGCTCTCAGAAAAGCGTTGCTTCGACTAGATCCTTCAAGTCCTCCGAGTCCCCAGGATTGTCCGGAGTTACTAGAAGCGTTTCGTTCGAAGATCAGCTAAGATCGAAACCCTGGACACCTATAAAACGAAGAGAATCTCAGCGAAGCAGCGCGTCGTCTAGATCCTACAAAGACAAGTCCTCGGAATCCTCAGAATCGGTCGAATACCCAATCGGCGCCGAAGTTCCTGTTAGAAGATTTTCGGTAGACCATCGGCAAAAATCCTGGAGTCTCGCGGAACGAAGGGAATCGCAGCGAAGCGTCTATTCGGCAATGTCCTCCAAAGAGAAGCCTCCAGAACCATTGGAATGGGCAGCCAGCAGCGAAGAGAGCGCTAAAAATGTTCCCTACGTTCTAACAAACATAAACGAAGTTCAGAAAGGAGCTTACGCGTCCTCGGCTTCTTGGAGCCAGGTGTCCAGCCCCGCAGTGATCGGCGCACTGCAGTTAGAAAAATCGATCCTGTTAGCTTCCCAGAAGAGCGCGTCCATCCAAGCCAGCCCACTATTGATCAGAAGATGTCTCAAGGTTGAAGCAACAGGCAGGTCGAACTCTTCGTTGAAAATCCAAGACTCGGAAGAGGTCGACGAGGTGTATCTGAAAAGAAGATTGACCTTGCCGGCGATGAGTTTCGGCAAACACACCGCAACCGTCCAAACTGGCCCCCTGTCAATCAGAAGGAGCCTGAAAGCCGAAGCTGCGCCCAGTTTAGGCAGCCCAGTCCTGAAAAGAGAAGACACGGAAGAAGCTAACCCACTGAAAAGAAGATTAACCATGCCGATGGTTGGGTCGAACAAGGACAGCGCAACGATCCGAATTAGCCCCCTGCTGATTAGAAGATGGCTCAAAGCAGAAACTGCTGCTGCAAACAATTCAGCGACGAACAATTCTGCTGCAAACAATGCCGCAACAACAATGACTGAGAACCAAAAAGACGCAAGTGAAACGACAGAAGGTGTCCAGGTATCGTCGAAAAGAAGACTGACCATGCCGATGGTGTACAGTCAGGATTCACCGAAGACTCCCACCCACGTGGACGCTTTATCAGGAACCAGCGTGAACCCGATTAGGCGATCGAGCATCGCGAGTGCCGCGATCTGCTCGAGCCTCGTTCCCAGCCTGGTAGGCGCCTTCCCAGGTATCCCCAACTGTTTGTTACCAAATGCCGAGGACAACGGCTCGTTACCAGTTCCGGCAACGTCCGAGACATCAGGTAGAAGCGGACTCAGGCTGAAACTGCCGTTCCTGCGACTTCATATCCCGGATCAGCAGCCGGCCACCACCTGGCAGGACCATGACGATCCAGAGTCCCATCAGCATCACCACCATCATCATCATCACCACGTTTTCCCCTATTTCCACGTGCCCACGATCACGTTCACCGCCCAGGCCGATGGCGAGTCCGGGCGCAAGTTCAACTTCGGCATTCGAAGACACTCGCAGACGGTTAGTCGCCGCGTGGATGTCGAGCAGAACTGGCTTCTCATTAACGATTGGTTCATACTGTTGTTGATTGTTGTTGTTGTTGAGTTTGCTGTTGGATTTGTTCATTTCGATGTGTTCTCTAACGAGTTTTTAACATCGCCGTGTCGTCGCCGAGAGGAGGATCGATGGATCAGTGAGCCCGTTTATGGACGCGGTGTCGCTAATCCGGATTGCTGGCGTTTATGCCAATTTAGGATCGCCGACGGTGATGTTACAGATACGCGCGTTTATTGTGCTCGTAAAAGTTTATGGGAATTGTTCGGATCGAGGATCGCTATAAATGCATGGACGTCTACCGTTTAGTGATCCTTGTGTCCAGAATTTTATACTTGGAGTGCTTTTTTGTCGGAAAACGATGAAATAGAAACATCGTGTTATTAATTACGGTGCTCTCTCTCTCTCTCTCTTACTCGTTTGATTTTGAATTGAGATTTTGTTGAATACTTACACAAACGAATAATGTGGTTTTCATTTAATTCCGCTGTTTCTTGCAGAAAAGTCGTGATGCTTTTGAAGGTAACGAACGAAGTTTTGCGAAGATATCGCCGCGATTTTCGTACGCCTTTGCTTTTATGGGATTAACACCGTTTCTGCCGATTTTTCGCGCATGCTTGTTTTTACGAAGTCAGTTTTATGATCATTCAGAGATAGTTGCGATGTCGATGAAGGAAAAGTGGTTACAGAGAAAATAATTATAAATCACTGTTTTAAACGTTGTCTTTCGACCGCATAAACGAACATTTTTAAAGGTGTCTTCCGAGGTCTTCGCGGAAAATATTAACAAAACATAAGGGTAAAAATCAACGTTTTCTTGCATTTCATATTTCTCTGGTAAATGTCGCAATTCTTTGCTAAATCTAATAACATTTACAGTATAAAAACAGTGTTTTAGCCGATCGGGAGCTATCTATTTAAAATTATTCACATTTAAAATATTTTACATAAATTCGATTTCTGAATCATATCATTAAACGAAAGGCAAACGCATAACTAATAGCTGTTAATAATTATTTCAGAACTTACGGTAAATTGACGGGGTACGTAAATGGTTCTGTTCTCTTAATACAATATCAAATTTTATATTCAAATTTTATTCTTTTTATAATACTTTGCCATATTGTGATTATCGTTAAAGTAAATGAAAATGACGGTACGCCGGACAATCACGGTAATTGGGGTGTTTTTTGTACACTCAAATAGTCAATCGGAAAGTCTTCCAATCGGGTCAAGGGCGACCCATACAAAAGAGAAACCGTGAGTGAAAGATATTTCATTTCTCGTTAACTTGCAATCAGCGTGTTCGTGCAGTTGCATACTTAGGCAAATAGTCGCGGAAACGTGACGGTCGGAAATCGCACAGTTCCGTCGATGACTAATGCTCGGCTGTGAAGCATTGTCGCGATCGACGTTATCGCAAGTTCAATAAAGATATTTCTGATCGGCTGGCGCGTAGGATGCGAAAGGATTTCGAAAACACATTTTTGGCCAGAGATCGTTATCAACCGAGTCAGACGCGTTCCACGAACTATTTCCAAAAAAAAATCTACAGCGACAGCTTCGTTCGAGATGAGACGAGATCAACGAGTCAACACTAGTAAATCATCGCAGCGTACGTTCCACGGAGTCATTCAGTTTGTAAAGCAGACGCGTTCCGCGAACGGTGAACACAATGTCACGGACAATAATCATTAATCATCTTTCCTAGTAGTGATTCGGACGCGGCTTTCAACGATCGACTACATTGTTCGATCATGGGATCTCTATTGATCCAATCTTTCCCGGTCTATTCGCCGTGAACCGAATGACGCGATTTTCCCTTATCGCCTTCTCTGCCTGCTAGATTTTGCTTCGATCGGAAAGCCAAAGAATTCAAAGATTGAAAGAATACGAGAATTGTTGCCAAGATATTTAACACAATTTTCACCGAATCGGTTAAAAGACACTTTCGAAAAGAATTGAAAATTTCAACTATTTTCTAAGTTCGCAACGAGTGTTGAACGAAGAACGTGAGATCTTAGAAGCGGCTAATTTTCTTGTTTTTCGCAAGTGAGCACACGCGTTGCTCATCGTGGATAAAACTGGAGCTAGTCGCTGTCATAAAACGATTATTCTCGCATATTATCCCATTGATCTTGACAATGGCTGCGATAAATCCTCCTGGATAGATACGTCTGACGTTCTAATGCGGTGTCAACGATTTCAAGAATTATTTTCGAAAGCCACTCCGAGCAGCTTAGACATTTTATTATCGTTAATCAGCTTGCAGCAGGATTACGGCTGTATTGCGGAACGTTAAGCAGGCTTTAGGCTGCGAGGACCAGAAATTCTGTCGCAAGCGTGCGCGACCGAGACAGAAATCCTATCGTTTGATTGTCCGACGATAAATATCGCGATAACGAACGCCAACAGTCTGAGAACTGCCGTAAACGTGATTTAAAGGCTAGACCGGCGATTTCGTGCGGCTCCGTTGACATCTCGGGCCCGCCAATCCGCGTCTGATAGCCGAGTATCAGCGTCGCGGAGACGTCGATCAGCGCCGCGGAAATTGTTCGGAGCGTGTAGATCGTTCGTGACGTTCCGGGCGTCTTCGTGCCCGGTAACGCGTCTTCACGGAACGTCTCTAAATATTCATGGAGCAAGACGTACGTCTTGGTCATTTCTCCCTGGACAGTAAGTAGAAACAGTTTCGCCTCTAACTCTGGCACGGTTATGCGAGTGCCTCGCGAATAACACATCTCTTGCTTATGCATGAAAGCGACTTCGATTTTATACTTCGACTTTCGCGGTGTGAACAGGAAACGTTGCATCCCGTCGAATCGGAATACGGGGGAAGCTGGTAATAGAGTTTTGAACTTGAAAAGAATTACACCGGTTGCAAGAAGTGAATGCAGTTTTGCGATGCACTAACGAAACGATTAACAAAAGTGTTTGCAGCTGGATTGCCGTGTCGCTAAGGAGCAGAAGCTTCGTGTTCTCTCAGCAACGTTAAACCGTTTCTGTATTTTCTTCTTCGCCAGCTGTGATTCATCATCGACAAAAGTGTCACGCGTTTAACTGCCACAAGGTGCGAACTACAAATGGTGGGCGTTACATATGAAAGGTTCCGCCACCCTTCTGTCCCGCGCGGTTCAAGCCGCTCGTATTTATTATTCCTCCCGTGCAACATTTACCAGGACAAATATCGCGGTTTCAATTTATGCGGAAAGCTGCTCGCGAAACGATCGAAGTTCCGTGACACGAATGTTAAAAGGTTCGACGGTGCAGAACTCTGTCCAAGCCGCGTGGGCGGTGCACTTCGATACCGTACAGTCGACGTTTACCTTTCATTGAACGCTTCCTCGGCTCTGATTAGTACCTTATCGTCGTCCTACATTCTATTGTGCCCCATTAAATCTGGACGTCCTTCCTTGCGCGACGTCGGCGGGTATATTTGCAGAGCCAATGCGACGATTAAAACGTTCGCGGACAGCCACGAGAATCCCTTTAATATATGCAGAACGTCCCGAAATCTGTGACACGAACCAAGAACGACGATACCTCGACGAGAAACCCAATGAAAATTATCTAGTTAAGAAATCTTCTCGCGCGAGCTTCCGTTTTGGCGAAAATTCAACTCGAATGTTAAGCATACGGGCGCACCTGTTGAGCGCGCAAAATCGCGAGCCTCGACCTCGCCAACCTGGGTGCACGTGCACTTCGAAGATCCTCGAAGGTCTCTCGGAATAATTCACTCTACTGATTGTACTGAATTTTTATTTTGCACGAAGATCCGCAATATGGCTTGATCGACAGTTACGGAACACCTCGTAGATTAAAATGTCAGGCGAGGTGTGGAGAAGCAATCTGTCACAGGCTTTCGAACATAACTGTTCTCTCGGTTGTTAACAAATTGCAATTCAACGTTATTGTTCCGATAATTAGGTGGGAATTGGAACTCGCTTGCAATTGTGCCTCCTCGCCGTTCGAGTTCTAATCGAGAGCCAGAAGAACCCGCGACGACCGGGTAGCTAATTAGTTATTCGAAACTGTTCCCAGCCGGCAAGCACAATCCCTGGGAAAATTACGCGACGAGTTTACTCGTCTTGGATACAGAACGAAAGTGGTATTGTTATCGCGCGTTCGCGAACTATGCTTAAAGATAATGCCAAGGACGGTTGAGCTCCTGGTTTCCGCAAGCTACGCATCTACCAGCTCGGCGATTAATTTGCTTCCGCAGTTTTTTTGATCGGAGAGGGTCGCGACACTCTCTCTCTCTCTCAGCGTGGGATCCACGTTCGCCGTGCCTGACTTTGTCTGTCTTCTTTTTTCACAGACCTTGCACCGGACTGACTCGATGATATCGCTCTGTTACCGATCTCTCGCCAGCTATATCACGGATGATAATCTCGCGGGACTACAGAACTTCCTCGAGAACAAACGGGTGCAGATCGACGATCGTGACGAGGTACCGAAATCTCTTTAAAAGCTCATCGTGAAACAAAATTTTCGGTTTCTTAGATTTCTGTCTATAAACGAGATTGTTATTTAATATTTATTTAATTGTCATTTAAGCTCAGAGTTGTGAATCGATCTCGATCGTTGTTTTTCCAACAGAATGGTAGCACAGCCCTCATCCTTGCAGCGAGTAAGGGGAAGATACACTTTGTGCGGGAGCTCGTCAATCATGGTGCAGACGTCAACGCCGAAGATGGGGTCAGTATCATATTGGATCTCGACTCAACGCTGCCTGATTACCATTGTACAACGAAATTGATTTTCAGGATAATTGGACAGCGCTGCTCTGCGCTGCTAAAGAGGGTCACACCGATGTCTGCCTTGAGTTACTCGAGCATGGAGCCGACTTGGAGCACAGGGACATGGTGCGTTATCTCATTAACAATTCTTCAATTCCAACTCGTTCAATTGCTATTTTAATCTACACTCGAATAGCCTTGAACGTGTATACCTTTAACAACATCCTCGTAAATTATCATTGTGGAGTTTCTAAAACTAATAAAGATACAGGGATTTTTTAAAAATTCTACTTTTCTAGATAAGTCTTAGAGATCGCAATCTTTCAAGAATTGCAATCCTTCATAGAATATGACCCTGATTAGTTTTAGTACCATTTGCACTTTTCAATTCTTAAATATTTCTGAAAAATCGATCTTCGTTGGCTACGAGGGTGTATACAACCCCTTAATTCACTCTGCCCTTTAATCTTGAGGAATGTCTTCTTTCCTGCGTTTGCCTTTTCAATTGAAGAGAGTGGTATTTATCGAGCAGTCGGAAGTCGCATGGGTACAGCGGAAATGGACACCAAGAGAGAAATATTCTATTTTTAGGGAGGGTGGACAGCGCTCATGTGGGCGACGTACAAGGGTAGGTCGCCGACGGTGACGACGCTGCTAGCCCGAGGAGCTGACGTCAATGCACATGGAAATTTTCATATATCATCCTTGTTATGGGCCGCGGGCAGAGGTTACCCTGACATTGTTAAAGATCTCATCGCTCATGGTGCTAAAGTTAATGTTGGCGATAAGGTAAGCCACCGTTGCTCGCGTACAAGCATATACCATTCATGAGAGAGTACACCAAGATGCACTCGATACAGAATAATGAATTTCTAAATGAGTTTCTTGAGGCGTGAGTCACTGGTGACCCATGGTATTTAAATGTAATCCTGAAACATGCACATCTAGGCTAACTGTGCGCTTGGTCAACGTGATTCTTACTGTATGGCTCACTGATGACCTATGGTATTTTATTGTACAATATGCATATACATCACTGAACGAACTGTGCAACAAGTGTTCTCTAAACAGCATTTCTTATTTGCAGTATGGTACTACAGCGTTGGTCTGGGCGTCGCGTAAAGGAAATGTAGAAATTGTAGATACTCTGTTGAAATCTGGTGCTAATGTCGACACTGCTGGCATGGTGAGACTCACTACCGATTAATTAGGTTGTTAATTTTGTGGCTTAAGATATTTAGAAGACCCTGGTTCTGGACAAGAATATCAGTTCAGTAATTATTCAATTTTCTTTGCAGTACTCATGGACTGCTCTTCTCGTTGCAACTCTTGGTAATCACGTGGACGTGGTGCTGCTTCTTTTGGAGCACAAGCCGAACGTGAACGCCTTGGACAAGGACGGTTGCACTGCACTGGCAATAGCATGTCGGGAAGGACACCATGAAATATCGAATGCGCTACTGAATGCCGGTGCTTATGTGAATATCCAGGACAGAGCCGGAGACACGAACTTGATTCACGCTGTGAAGGGCGGTCACAGAGGAGTGGTTGAATCTCTTTTAAAGAAATACGCGGACGTGGACATCGCTGGAAAGGTGACCAAATTGCTGTCAATCTATCATCCCAGACAGAAGACAGGATATATCCGATTAATACCTTGACCAATTGGCTTTTAAATAGCGACGAAATTGGATCCTAAAAATAGGATATTAGATCCTAACGTTGTCCCTGTTTTGGACGAGATATCGTACACGGTGATTCTTCTTCAATATCACGCAGCGGATCGATTTTGACTTACCAAGAACTTGTTAGATCCATTTTGTTCGTTTTTTCGAGCGTAGAGATATTTTTGTAAATCTTCTGCAGCCCGCTTAGAATCACCCTGTATCTCCGGTCAGTCTGCTTTTGAGAGTCTCTCTTGTAGTTTCCCATTGTTTTTGCGTTAATTTGAAGCTTGGATTATGCGCTAATTACGTCGAACATACGGCAAATAAAGAATCTAGCTAACCGTGCGAATTTTATTGACATCATTCTAGGATAAGAAAACCGCCACTTACATAGCAGTAGAAAAAGGCAATATACCGATATTAAAATTGTTACTAAACGCTAACCCAGACTTGGAGATCGCGACGAAAGACGGCGACACGCCATTACTGCGGGCAGTTAGATCGCGGAACGCTGAAATCGTGCAATTACTGCTGGACAAGAAAGCCAAGGTCTCAGCTACCGATAAAAAAGGCGACACGGTGCTTCATATAGCCATGCGAGCAAGATCGAAAGCTATCGTCGAGATATTACTGAGAAATCCGAAAAACAGTCAGCTATTGTACCGTCCGAACAGACAAGGGGAGACGCCGTACAACATTGATATTAATCACCCCAAGACGATCCTCGGGCAAATATTTGGTGCACGTGAGTTGCTAGTTCATTTCCAACTTATATCTTCCAATTCATGTATTTCCACTTGTCTTCCAGTTTGTCCTCCAATTTGTTTTTCAATTTGTCTTCCAATTTATGTATTCCAACTTTTGTCTTCCAACTGATGCCCGATCTTCTAGGACGTCTGAATACTAACGAAGACAATGAAAATATGCTTGGCTATGATCTGTACAGCAGTGCGTTGGCAGACATTCTTAGTGAACCGTCTCTTTCAACTCCCATTACCGTCGGCCTTTATGCGAAATGGGGTTCTGGAAAATCTTTTTTATTGAACAAGTTGAGAGGTACTAACTGCGAACTTTATTTGCCGTTGGTCAAGCTACAATGATAATCTTCTTTCAGAGGAGATGAAGAATTTCGCTCGTCAATGGATAGATCCCGTATTTCAGTTCTCTTTCTTGCTTTTCGTGGTGGTGTCTCACATGTCTTTATTAGTGGGCGTCACTATAGGTCTTGCCCTACAATCATGGATAACTGGTCTTTCCTGTGGTCTAGGTCTTATCGTCATTACGTACGCGTTTTTGATACTTATCTGGTATGCTAACAAGAGGTGAGAGATAATCGTAAAGAATTTCCTCTATACTGTCCAATTTTTCATATTTTATAACATTGCTAATTTTTTAGATACGATTGGTACTGGCCATACAATTTCACGGTAGCTCTTACTACAAAGTTGAACTCGTTAAAATTATTATTGCAAGTGATTTTCTGTCATCCCCCTGGTGGTCAAGTTAACGATGGCGTTAATGCGCAGCCAATCAAATTTTATTTCACCGATCAGACTCGAGTAGGCACATCAGCTGCTGGAGAAAATGCTGTGGTTCAAATGGTGGGATCTCTGTACGACTCGATTGAGAATGATTTCGGTTCACTGTCCACGAGACTCTACAGAGCGTTCAGGCCAAAACCTGATAAGTCAACCACCACTTGGAAGTGGAGACATCTTTGTTGTCTACCTTACATCGTTATATTCGAGTTCTGCTTTTGCAGTCTACTTGTTGGTATCTCTGTGCTCACCGTCTACCTCATTGACCTCTCCACCAACAAGTGAGTGCGCCATTCAACATTTCTGCTCCCCTATGTATCGTCGGAGAAAACTCACTTGTGATTATCATTCGCAGGAAAAGGATAGAAAAAGTCACGGCACACATTATCATGATAACAGTTGCCTTAATACTAGCTGTCAGTATAATAGCGAACTTGTACACGTGGAATCGAACATTGCAAGCATTAGTTTTCTCCCAAAGACGGCATCTTCAACGTAGCATATCCAAGTTAGAGACCTTGAAAAGTGAAGGCTTCATACAAACTCTGAGGAGCGAAGTTAGCTTAATGACAGAAATGGTGCGGAAACTATTGTTATAATGAGAATTTTATTTAATATATTGTATCTACCGAATAATAAAATTTTTGGTTAAAAAATAGGTGAAATGTCTAGATAGCTTCATGGCTCAGCAGAGTAGATTAGTAATAATCGTGGATGGCTTGGACAGTTGCGAACAGGATAAGGTGTTGTTAGTTTTGGATGCTATACAGGCATTATTCAGTGACAATGGTTACCCGTTTGTCGTTATATTAGCTATTGATCCCCATATTATTGCCAAGGTATTGTATTTTTCAGCTTCTCTTAAAACGTTCACACGTTTCTCCAAAATAATCAACTCGAGAAACGTGCGAGAATTAATAGATAATTATAAACAGAGATCATTTTTAAAACGAATAATTACCCTTAATAGGCAGTGGAAGTCAATAGTAGAAGATTATTTACGGAGTCGAATATTGGGGGTCACGACTACCTTCGCAATATGGTGCATCTTCCATTTTATCTGCAAAATAGTGGTTTAAGGAAGGTGAAAATTGCTCAACAAACTGCCCAGCATAGTAGAAAAACCACGTGGACCGAAGCCGAGGAAAGCGTTAACTATACCGCCAGTAGTACAATGCATCATTCTATGTCGAATAGAAGGCTTAGTACGGAGTCTGGCATAATGAACAGCAACGAGAAGCTAAAACCACAGAGCAGAAAAGGCAGTAGGAAATTACGATTGAGTGAGTCGATCGCAAGCAGTATTGGCAGCAATTTGAATCGATTAGGTGGCGCACAGGATCTCAATAAGATGCTCCTCACGGATGATTACTTTAGCGACGTGAACCCGCGTAGTATGAGAAGATTAATGAACGTCGTTTATGTCACTGGTAATATTAGAATAACCAGCTTGGTACTGATAGAACCGAAAAACTTGAACCTTGAAGGAATACAAACTTTGTTGCTTGAAATATATATGTACATATATTATAGATCCAAGTTCTGAGAGGTCCAATTTGTTCAGTTTATCATCAGCATAGAATGGGTACCAAGTATTTATAGAAAACATCTTATCTGTATTGACTGAATTCTCTGCTTATATTAGGGAGATTGTTGAAAGCATTCCAAATCGATTTTAACTGGTACCACTTAGCCAGTTGGATCAACATTACAGAGCAATGGCCGTTCAGAACGTCTTGGTTGATCCTGCATTACGACATGTATGAGGACAACTTGGACGACGGCATGTCGTTGAAGAGTCTTTACGATAAGTACGTTTCTCTTGCAAATACGATGCATTGCAATTCTTTTTTCCAGCTGTTACTTATTCATATTAAAATGACTAGGATACGGCCGCAGATACCCGTACTTAAAGAAGTCCAGCCTCTTTTAGAGATGGACAGAGATGAGCGGAAGTTGGACATTTTTCTAACTTTCCATCGGTCTAGTTTATTAGTCAGCGACATGAAGATATTCTTGCCATTCACGATTAATCTCGACCCTTACATTAAGAAAAAGATCAAGGAGGAGCAACAAACCATCGAAGAGGAAGCAGGACTTGGATATAAACAGTACAATCCTTGGGCCATGCATGGTGGCGCTCAAGAACCGTGGAACACGAGTAGGACTGGGATAGCAAATCGAAATATGAAATTAACTAGGATACCAAGTCTGCACGGACCTGGACCGGTTCCATCGACAACATCCTGGTGCATGCAGCCGTCGTACGACTGGCAGACACCACCACCATGGGTGCAAATGCCTCATATGGAACCCGCAATTAAACCACTTTCTGCGATTACGACTCTACCGGTAGAATATACATCCAATGTTCAGTAATTATTTTTATTTACCAATAAAAATAATTCTGTTTCTCTTTTACAGTCCGAAATTTTGGAGATTAGGCTATCGGGTCTAACAGTATCTGGCATTTGCGACCTTATCGATAGAATAGAGAGCCTGAATCCCAATCAGATGTCACAGTACAAAAATGTTATCAAGGAAAATAACATTAATGGCAGAGTTTTGCTGCACTGCGACTTACAAGAGTTGAAAAAGGTGAGTTGTGCTCATTAAAAAAAATGCATAATTACTGAAATTTTACTATACTTTTATTCTACTTGTAGGTACTTAAAATGGCTTTTGGAGATTGGGAACTGTTTCGCATGGTGATCGCATCACTTAGGGAGGTAGAGTTATCATCGTTCAACACATACGAGGAAGGTCCCCGCAGTGTAAGATTCACTGTAGGATCAGAACAAATTCAACGAAAAGGTAGGAAGGAATACATTTTATTTCTGACCGAAATACTGGCGTGCACAGAGTTATAAATTATTATTTACTATTTCATTCTATCATTTTAGATCATAATTTACAAAGCTCATCAATGCGTGTACCGACTCACAGCGAGAAAGAAAAAGGCAACTCGAGAACCGATGGTCCTCCTAGGCGAGACCAGACCAAGCAATCCATCATGGAGAAACAAGTAAGCTATTTTAAAACATACAACAGGAACGGTATCGCAAAATTTTGTGTTTTATAAATAATTTATTAACATAAAGTGTGATTCACGCTACAATCGTGCACCGTTTTAGTACCAGGTAAGCAAAATATATGGTTAATGACTTCATAGTGAAAGGAATATATAATATTATTTAAACTAATAACTCGGTATACATTGAATACAGTAATTTCAATGAAAGATTTCTCTTTCAGGTAACTTTGGAAGAGCAAATGATTTGCGGAGCACTTCAAACGTTGAACGAAGAAGCTTGCGAGGATGTTCTAGATGTACCATCTCCTGCAGTGGTACCAACAGACTCACTCCCAGGTGAGCCTTCTTCTGTAGTACTTTCACTGCCTCTGGTTATAGTTCAAGAACCATCGCAGCAAGATCAAAACTGTGACATCGTATACGAGTACAGTACAAACCTTTAACGATTCAAATCGAGGGCAGCTATAATTCGATAACATATCATCATTAAGGCATCATCATAGCACTTGAAGATGGTGTATTCCACTGCTAAAAAGCAGTTGCAATTCACCAGGGAACTTTCGTCAATTCATCTGTTAATTGAATGCTTAAACAGTATTACTGATGTGTTAGGTTTACCTGAACAAAAACAAATAAAAATGTTGAATTTGTACATAAGTACAAATTCTTAAGAGAGATAATCATATGTTGAGGATGTCATATAGAAAATGTAGCTATTCCAAAATGTGCCAATGCGTCATGCGAGACTGGATCCTTGTAAATAGACAAAGGATAGGTATAACGTGAATGCCACATGTTAAATAAAACCAAAACAGAATACATCCTTCGACGATACTGATTTGAATGTATGCGTTACCTTAGGTGTGAAATAAAAGCATCGTGCGCTAGTTTAGTACTACTGTTGTGGCAATGCTTGCGGAACGTGCTCAACGTTTCAACCGTGTTAAGTCTAATGTTAATGCATATTACTTCCGTTGTCGCTGTATTATACTCCAAGAAATGCTGTTGTACACGTCGTAGCTTCCGAAACCCGTTACTCTGTAACACCATTTGTAAAACCAGACTGTGATAATTGTTACTATTGTCGAGTGTAGCCGAGATACGTTTCCTTTTCCGGACGTCACGCTGATAGATCTTGTATTCTTAGAAAGATAAGGCTTCCTCGCGAAGGAGAGTTTTATATACCAAAGCAAAGAAATGAAAAACAAAGAAGAGATCTAGGTATATTTTCATCTCTATCTATGTATTCTTTTGTACTGTGTGTACGATTTACTGTAGACGGTCCGACCATTATATTATACAATGCGAATGGCAATAAAACTTTGTTGGAAATTCAAGGCGACATTATCTTTCTCACAGTCTAGATCTATAAGCTTTACCGAGCATGATTTCATTTTATATATCTACTACACTGGTGCAGGGCAGTGTGAACAATGACGATCAGTCGTATTTCATTCGCAAATCCTCACGCAATCAACATTATCTCGTTTCTTATTGTTTAATCTCCAAATATTAGCATACTGTACCACGTGATCAACGAAATTCGACCTTGAACAGATAAAAACACATATCGCCTCTGTTTTAGGGTCCACCTCGGCTGCGGCCCAGGACACGGATTACGTGATCCTGCAGTCCAACCCCATTCTTCACTGGGTACCTGTTAATGACGAACCCGAAACATCCGACGACAGCTCTCTAGAATCAACGGTCCATCTTCAGCGCACGAACTCGCAGCGTAGCATCGCCTCTCAGCGCAGCATAAAGTCGACTTGCTCATTTGGACGCAGAGACTTGAGAAAAGATGGAGGAAATGCTACCAGCAGCAGACCATCCTCTTTGTTCGTCTCTCCTCCTCCATCTCCAAGACCTGCCTTCAGATCCAAGTCTACGGATGAGAATTATGTGGCAAATAACATACCTTTGAAACCGACACTCCCTACCTCCATGAAGAAACGACGCTCTACGTCTACGTTGAACGAGGAAGTAGTTCTTTCGGTACCAGTTCCGAATTCCAGCTTGGAGAAGCTGAGTAAGTTGAAAGACCGCCTCATGGGGACGCTGCCTACTTCACCAGCACCGGGAGAGAGTGAAGACGAGTCTACACCGTTGGTTTCTGAACTGTCTACCCCGACACACTCACAGTCAGACAGCGTGTTCAAACATGATTACAGCGAGGAAAACAGTAGCTCGATATCTTCCAATAAGAGTCTACCTCGCGACGGAGAACGGTCTATAGACGTTGATTATTCTGATACAGTGAGCTTAATGGTGCGTGAATCTTCGCACGTGCGGTTCCTACCCCGGCAAGATGCTGAGGAGCGGGAGAACCCTGAGACACCTGTCTGATATCTTCTTTCGTTGCTACACCGTTAGCGAATCTTTTGTGCGATACGCAGAACACTGTACAATTTTTAATACTTTTTGGGATCTCTAATATCGGCTGAGCGTTTCTGAGGAAGATCCATCAGTAGTGCCGAATTCGTAGTTAGAAGTCACACGTTGAACAGTGTAATGTACAATATGTACGATATGCGGTAGTTATAAGTAAAACAGAAGTATTCGGGGTTTGTGATAACTTTTCAGCAGTAGGATAATGATAATGGTTTTAATGCGCTTTGTAAATAGTGATTAGGGGATCGGATCAGCCTCGTTTTTTTTTTTGGGTGAGAATGGTTTGGACGTGTTCATGCATTAGGATATGTAAGAATTAGTTTTAGATGATGTGAGGGACGAGAGCATGATCGTGACGTTCGATTTATTTTAGAATCTTGACATTCCTTGATTATTGTTCAACGCATTTAACGATGCGCGTTTGTCAGTCCTCTTTTGAGGAGGAGTAAAAGTGGACGAAATTTGTTCAAGTTATAAATTGCAGATGAAACACAGTGTGGTGTAATAGGTGGAAATAAGTCGGTATGTTGGGTTGCTAAGTTGGTTTTATTAATATGTAACGCCTTACTTTTGTGTATGTAGATATAGAGAGAGACGAGTACTGCCTCTAGAGGTCAGTGTTAACGATTCGAAGTGACCTTGGAATTGTTAGGCCTGTTAAAATATCCTGCTATTCTGCATGCATTTTACGTGATTAAGATTATTTGCAAATTCGCGTAAGACGTAATAATTATTATTTCACTGTCTGTTTGGCAATAACAGCAAATGAAGACATTAAGAAAGGGCAATGACATTAACTTTAAGTAGTTTTGATGTACTTAAGCAACCATGAATTTATTTCTCATTTATTATCGGCCAATTTTAGAATCTAATCTCCAAGAGCAATCATTAGTATTTCATTGAAACTTTGCATTACTCGAAATTTGTAGTCCACTAAAACGTTTCATCCATCTCCAAAGAGACTGATGAAGGGCTGAGAATATCTTTTTTATTTATTAGTAAGATTTGCAGATCGTGAAATTCGACAATTTGTAAATGCGGTTGACAGTGTAACTTGACACAGATAAATAAATCTCGAAATATTTTAACACTTCGTTCCGTAATTAGTAACAGAGTTCTGTCGAGAGAAATACGTAGGTGAAATCATTTTTGCACGTATAAGATGACCTTGGCTCTAAATGCGTTATCAGAACATTGTTGATTTTTTTACCAATGATATCAGAAAGTTGAGACAATTTTATTTTAATTTGTATTTGTATTAGTAAGATAAAACTCCACAAGCTGCATTACTTTTATTATTGCACCTGTAAGATAAAATTACATAATAATTTTTTAGTATGAATTCACATAAAACTAGTGCGTTAAATGCTCGATAAATACCCGTTAGGATAACATCTTCAATAATAACGAAGATTGAAGTGATCAAACTTAAGGGTCCATTTTATAATAGAGCAGGTACTTATCGAGTGATTACTTATTTTGGTAGCCTTTTTAAAAAAACCAAAACGACATATAAACTAAAAGTTTGATGTGTCTCTCAAATCTTGTAATATTTTATGCTGTGTCCACGACAGTTCGAATGTTAAATACGTCGACGCCTAATTTGTACAATATATAATAGGAACATCTACAACACAACTTTTTAATAATACTTTTTTATTACAAAGCAAAAAGTATACATAATGTATATAACAGTATATGTATATAACACTTTAGGACGGAATACATTAGGGTATTGGTTAATAATAGCACTGTAAACACAGGTAATAGATATATTAGATCTTCAAATAATAGTATCATATAGTACTTGGCTTATTGCTATTAAATACAATATATTTAAATACATAAAATTAACATAATATAGCGCCGCGTTCTACTTTCGTAAATGCTCGTAAAATGGAATACAATAAGTACTTCAACAGCCTTTTACGTAATTCGTCGTAAAGGACGAGTCTTATTTTATATGATTTCGTGGCTCATGATTCGATAAAATTAACAAAAACTGTTAAGCTGCACTTTAGATGCAGTTTTGTTTACCACAATCCGCATAATACAATAAACTCGATCAGATCATTGAATTCCACGCGATTATCCAATTTTTTAAATTTATTGTATTACGCTTGTAATCGTTTTTTACAAAATACTGATACATCAGTTACAAAATACCGTAACCATATAAACAATAAAATTTTATAATATGATACACTAGATAGCGTAATAGGAATACCGTTTGTTTTGCCGTTAATCATGTATATCTGAATATTTCACAAAAGAGGATTAACAGAAAATACTTTTACGAAGTAATCATAATAAACCAATAATAATGTACATACTTTCACGCTCTAAAAATCTTTCAATGAACGAATTTTTTGACACGAGTAAAATGTAAATCAACTGGAATGAATATAAAACTGGAGTATAATAGCTTTCTCCTTCCTTGTTATAATTAAAGGCACTATGGCAAGTATAAAATACTATCTCACAGGAATTGAAATACATCTATTATACTACTTGGGTACTCAAACTTCATTCAGGCATTGCATTAAAGCGCAAAATTTATATAATTCGATATAAAACATACAATTAGGTACAAAATGTGTGAAATATATTTTTATAAAAAAGTATGTCAAAAGTTTGCGTACCCTGGGTTAAATGTCTCTATCGCGTAATAAAAGCACCATACATTACATTTCAATGTATGCATATCATCTAAATACGTGCTAATAGAGTGCAAGGTCACTTAAATCTGTATAACAATCAATCATCTTACTCTACAATAAATGCAGAACACGATTAAAACAACTTGCATGGCAGAGTTCAATAAAAAAAAAAATGTTTTGCAATAAAAAATAAAATAACTATTAAAGAAAAGTAACCGCTCTTGCATTTAAGTGTTGCTACTATGGTACTAATAAGTACTTTCTTAAACGATATAAATTATGTACAAAGGAAATCTTCGTAGTTGAAACAAGCATCTATTAATTAATCGATTCTTAAAAAATAGCTAGGAATTAAAAATATATAAATCTCTGATATCCATCAGATTCTCGAATAAACTTTTGCACAATATTAAGCGTAAACTAGTTGTTCGCAAAATGTAGTAACATTTGATTGGTCCCGTTTAGACTTCAAAGTATTTTCTTTAACTTTTTTTAAACAGGCAGTGCCATACTATTGTCGTACTCACTTGAAGAAAACGAGTATGTAATCCAAGGAAGACGTGATTCAATAAATACCTTGATGATTCAGTACTTCTCACGTGTTCCATTACAGAGATAATACTTCAGAGTTGCGTTGTAATTACAGTCTTCCTGGTAATGATAGTATGCTTAATGGGAGTTTGATCTGCAACTGTTGTCTGCGATGGGTCGGCTACTAGCCAGGGACTGATATCAGAGACCGCAGAATTATCATCCTACAACATAAAAGTAATCGTTACACATCAACTTAAAACGTAAAGATAACTTATAGTTGTATATTATTACATTTACAATTCTGGACGCAATTTAATTTAAAACAGAGAGGCATTAACAAGTTAACTGCCGAATCACAATCCTGAAACATCTTACAAAATTAAATTAGTTTAATTTATAAACTTAAGCCCAAACGAACAAGTGTAAGCAGACGGCAGTCAACGTGTTATCAAAGTATGCGTACATTTACGAGGGCAGTTCGCATAAACGATAGCATTCTTTTAAATCGCACAATAACAAGTACAATACAGAGAAATCGATTACTGCTAACTCGCAAGCATTTAGAATAAGCCACACCTTATGCGTGAGAGTTGTGGTGGTCGTTTGGATCTCTTCAGTCTTCACGACTCTTGCTCCATTTTTCTCGACTTCAGATTCAACTTTTTTCTCGACAGGTGGTTGCACCTCTTTAAACGGGTTTAGCAAACCCAAGAATGGATTCGAGTCTATGAACGGGTTCGTGTTCGCTTTCTTTTCCTCTTCTGGCTTCGCTTCTTCTTCAACACTTTCAGAAACATTGGTAGTAACATCTGTATTATTGTTACTGGTGAACGGATTGAACGGATTCTGGGATTGATTTGAGATCTTGGGGTTCAGTTGAGTGGTCTTTTGCTCGATCTGACCCCAACTGTCTAAAGAGAAGTGTGTTACAGTAACATTGTCGTCCAGAGATGGATTCATTGTTGTCGATCCGCTCACAGAAAGAGTTAGCTTGTCTCCACCCTAGATAATAATGCAAAAAAAGCAAACAAGTCACAACTAAAGCCTAAAAGCACAGAACATTGGTACAAGTGAATTGTTTAAAGATACTTATGCGTGTAATGGCACAAAGTATACCGAACAATATTTCAAACAGGCTTTGAACAAACAACTGCGATTATACTCTACCAAAAAGAATATTGTTTTAGTAATATTCTAAATAAATGAGCGATCTTCTACAGTGACAAGTAATCTGGAAAATCGTTTTAATATTTGCCATAACAATCAATTCAAGAAAATAGTATTCTCTTACCACGGATACAATTGTTGCTGCCTCAGAGTGCTGACTATTCTTAGGAACAACTGCAGGTACATCCGTGGAAGTAATTGAAACTAGATTCGAATTTTTCCCTTGTTCTAGAGATTTTGCTTTCAGTATGTTGCATTTCAATGACTCTGGCGGTATGGGAGTGCGAGGTGGCAACGACGAGGTGCCGCCTACTTGATTGTTCGGCACTAGTTGCACCGGATTAGTTATGGTCTCGATGGTTAGACTTGTTTTTACAGGCTCGGACTCTTTCTCTGTGCTGGCAATCGCCGTTTGATTTCTGGCTTCCAAAGGCTGCTGATCTTTGGCAAGTGACTTCAGCAATGAATCTACTAATGGTGATGATGCACCATGCAAGCTGGAATTTGAGGATTTTGTACTGCATTGACTTGGCTGACGTTGCAAGGGCTGCTCTTCGGCTGAAAATGAAGATACATTCTTTTAGACAGTCTATAGAAATTTGTTGACCGACTTTATATCAACGTAAAAATATTTTCCAGTTTTTGTAAGGTATTATCGCACTTTACAGCTTACCAGCAGGCGGTGAGATTTGTGGCTGTTCCACCTGCTGACGTTGTCTTTCTCTCAAAACATGACTCTGTCTGCGAGCGTATCTCTGACTTGGTCGACGTTCAAATTGAACAGTTCTCCGTGCTCGGTTCAATTGAGTCGTTTGGAACTCGGTTTTGCCACTATAACGAAATCGTGAGCCCATTCTAAAGAAGTTCTGTCGACCGCTGGCTCCTTTAACTGGGGCTCTCAGCCTGAAGAAGGCATGGTGTTCCACAGCGCATTTCCATAAATGTTTGCAAGCTTTTTCATTTACCAATCTGAACACAAACGTGTGCTCTTGCTCTCCTCTGCCCTCATCATCTTCCTCTACTACCACTAAGGTCAATTTCTTCTTTTTGAAGTCCAAACGACCGATTTTAGGCCAGAAAAATAAACCTATCTTCTGTGTGCCTTCAAACACTAAGATTCCAGTTGGAGTCAGACCCAAGGAATATTCGCAGGCATCTTTGCCAAGAACAGTATGCATGTCCACTCCATACATATCCAGCCATTTAGCTTTGCTCAGATAAGCAGACTCAGCCTGAGCTGGACTTAGGCCAGAACACTTTGCATATTCCTCAAGTATTTCCAGTTCCATCTGTTCCGTTTGACCAGGCACAAAACGGAACTCTGATACTGTTGCTGCGCTGTGTGCAGTAGGGTCATAATCACCAAGTTCAGCTGAAAATATAGGTCAAGGTATGATGAAACATACAGCAGGCTTACAAAGGAATCACTGACTTAAAATATTTACATTGCAAAGATAGGGCAGCCAACTGAACTGCTACTTGATGAGGACAGTGAAGCTTTCCTTCCAACACATCTTGCTTTAGCTGTAGGAAGAACTGATACCTAGTTAACTCTTCGCGTAACGTATTAGGCTCTGAGGAATAGAACTTTACTTTCAAGCGTAAAGTATAAGGTGGCCCAACTGTGAAAGATACATATGTTAGTACCTTAACTAATAACAGATTCAACAGGTAAATACAAGGTAATTGTAATATAAAACTTTGGATCGTACTTTTTACTTGTTTTTTTATCGGTTTCGTCGGGTCCAACCAATGTTGAACATTATTGCTGTCTGTATATTGCAGTCCAAAATAGTCCTTCTCTATTAAATCCAAGCTATAAAATACCTGTTCATATAAGTCACTAGCCAATGCTTTTTTCTGCAACAGAAAAAGACAATCTATCAATCTGACCAATAAATATAGAAAAGTTTTCCGGAAATTGCCTTATAATCAGAGATTAACTAAATTAATTTTGTGCACTTTTGAAGGCAGTAGTTCGGCGGTCAATGTGTCGATGATATAATTAAGCGACGTTAAATAAAATATCCGACTTACTGATAACTCGATAGGCAGGTCAGTACCATCCAGCAACACGACTCTGCACTGTACAACATTTTTGTTGCTGAGCAGTCGCTGGTTTTTTATTTGCGAGGACGCGGTTTGCCCGCTGACACTGCGCGCTCTTCGCCGTGACAAGAATCGTAGCATTTTATTTGACATAAGTCCAAAGCGCTCGCTATCTCGTTGGACCCGACTCTGTTCTGTACTGCTAGTCGCTACATTCCTCGACCCGCGAACATAACTTTTTCGCCGTCCTTATTAACGCCCACCTGTACGCCAGTATGCCAATGCATAAACACGCGCAAATAACGAATGTAACCGGATATCACTGATTAAATACACATGCTAACGATGGTTCGTGAGATGCATTGACATCGCGGTTACTTGGGGATTGACTAGCCATAACAAACCGCGCGAGATCCACACCTACCCGGAGGACGCATACATTTCGCTTACGGTAAAGCCACGAATATTTTTTCCGTCAGAATCATTTTTCCTATGAAACGGTCGAGACCGATTCTACGGACATCTGGTTCAATTTAATCGAACAGTCTTATTGTTTAACTTTTTCGTGTGGTTGACAGATGACAGTACTGTTGACTTGGTATAGGTGGTTCCTAGTTCACCGACTTGGTATATTTTGTTGTTATTGTTTATTAAAGGAACAAAGTTTTAAACGCACGGTTCGAAATCATATGTCACATAACTAGACAATATAATGATCTAGTTTCGAATTAATTAGTTCTTAAGATTTATTCGAGAGAGTAAATTTGGTACTGGAATGTTGCTAGAAGAAAAAGTCACATATTATCTCTGCTTTGTATTATGGACACATTTTGTTATAGGTGGCAGCAAATTCGTTTTATTCTATGGGAATGGGAAACATGTGAAATTCTCATTGGGAATTGAGAATATGAACACGTCAAGTTTGACGTGAACATGTATTATTGGTAGGTCTATTTGCTGTGCATCTTACGTTCTTTTACGCAAATTTTACATTACAGTACGTCTTAATAATACATTTTTAGTTTAAATAATCGGTTTGTATAATTGTAAATTACATATATAACCATGAATCGCGGTGGATCATCGAAAGCCGTGCAAAATAACCTGTCTCCGATGCATCAGAGTGATCAGGATTCCGATTATCAACAACGCGTATGATTTCTATTGATTTTAAGCTTACTTAATCCTGTCTGTTCCCATTTACTGTTTCTTTTCCTAACACATGAGCTAAGTAAAGTTGTTTCTTAACCGTTTTTAACTGAATGTAGCATGTATGATTAGTGAAAATTGTGTTAAAACTTCTAATCAAATATTACATGGATGCATACTTGGGAAAGACAGGATCGAGATTTGTATGTTTCAGTAACATTTTTCTCTTTTTACTTTAGGAACCAACGCTTTACACCGTCAAAGGTATGGCCATCCTTGACAATGACGGCAACAGAATATTGGCCAAGTATTACGACAAGAAGATATTTCCAACTTCAAAGGAACAGAAAGCATTTGAAAAAAATCTTTTCAACAAGACTCACAGAGCAAATGCAGAGATCATTATGCTCGATGGTTTGACTTGCGTTTACAGAAGTAATGTGGATTTGTTCTTTTATGTAATGGGTAGTTCTCATGAGAATGAGGTATATATTTTTGTTAAACATCAATCATATTAATTAAGTAGCCTGTCTTTGTACTTTATAATATTTAAAAATTTTCTTTCAGCTTATTTTAATGAGTGTATTAAATTGTTTATATGATTCAGTTAGTCAAATCTTAAGAAAGAATGTCGAGAAAAGAGCTGTTTTAGATAGTTTGGACATAGTTATGCTGGCAATGGATGAAATTTGTGACGGAGGGTAAATAATATTCATGAAGTACATAAATTAAATATTAGTCTATTTATTAATATGAAATGAAATTGTTTTAGAATTATTTTGGATGCCGATGCATCCAGTGTTGTTCAAAGAGTTGCATTGAGAATAGATGACATTCCCTTGGGAGAACAGACAGTTGCACAGGTAATATTAGTGTAGTGTATTAATATTAGGTTATAATCTTGATGAACTTAATGTTCGTCACAGTAAAGTTTGTATCTATTGTTACATAGAAACATTTTCGATTTCTTTATTTTGTGTTCATGCATCATTCTACATACTTCGCACAGTCTCTGATTGTAAGTTTTTGTGAACCTGAAAGGCAGTGTTGTTAACAATATTCAAGCTACTTTCATATACGTTTGTGAATGCTTTGTCTTTGTTCTAGGTCCTCCAGTCTGCAAAGGAACAACTGAAATGGTCTTTATTAAAATGAGTTTTATATACAAAAACTGTTATCACACTTATATGTAAAAAATGAATATCTCAAAGTGCAAAAATATTAAACTGTTCATTAAGTTACATTAAGCTGAAACAATTATTAGTCTGTATTTATCAATAATAAAAATTTATTACACTCTACAGAATATAAAGTAAATATAGTTTTTTTTATTATAAAATATAATATAAATAAATTGACAATTGTTTGAAGAAGTTGATGTATCAAAGTCATTTCTCTCTCTTTAAAATCCAAAGAATTGTTTCTTTCGAAATTTCAAAATTTTTTTTCTTTTAATCTTTTCAAATTAATTTCTCAAAAATTCAGGATGATGGAAAAACGACGTGTACATATGCGAAACGCAAAACACCGCTTCTTGAAAAAGCCCTTATTTATCGAAGCTACGTATTAGCTGTCAGCTAAACACATACATATCCAATCAGTCAATTTGGTTGGGTTTTACTCGGGTTAGGTTAAGAAATTTCACTCCATGTGGACTTGTTTTCGTTGAATTCGGAAAACATGTCAGAGCTACTAGCGTTGCCGCAAAAGAAATATTACAGACAACGAGCCCATTCGAATCCCATTGCGGATCATTGTATAGAATAGTATGTGATTAACTTTATAAATAAAATTTCAACTTTATTTTATAGCTATTATAATATCATATTATTGCTAATCCAAAATTTTATTTTTAGTCCTGTAAATCCAAATGAAATGAATTGGAGTTCTCTATATCCACATTATTTCCCAGACAATGAAAGCAAATTAGATGAAAAAGATGTTAACCAGAAATGTGTGGAATTTGCTGATGTTGGTTGCGGCTATGGAGGTTTGCTAGGTACGTAAAATTTTTATTTTAAATATGAATCAGAATGAGTAAATATTCATTAATAATTGTAAACAATTTTTTGTAACAGTTACACTATCACCAATGTTTCCTGATAATTTAATTCTTGGTATGGAAATCAGAGTAAAAGTTTCTGACTATGTCATGGATCGTATAGCTGCATTACGATCCCAAAATCCAGGACAATATCAGAACATAGCTTGTCTGAGAACTAATGCAATGAAATATTTACCAAATTATTTTTACAAAGGGCAGGTACAAATCACTGTATAATTGTATATAGAAATAATAGATATCATCTGTTTTAATCGCTGTTGTATATCATTGCAGCTGAAGAAAATGTTCTTTTTGTACCCAGATCCCCATTTCAAGAAGTCTAAACATAAATGGAGGATTATAAACAAGACACTCCTGGCAGAGTACGCGTATGTGTTAGCTGTAGGGGTAATATTATTTTCATCTTATTTAAATACATTGCAATTAATTTTGTATAGATTAAAAATTACTAATTATATATGTATATACATATATTATTTAAAGGCCATTGTGTATACAGTAACAGATGTTCAAGATCTACATGAATGGATAGTACAACATTTTCATGAACATCCACTGTTCAGTGATGTTTCTGAAAAAGAATACGTAAGTTTCTTTGAATGCCAACACCAGTCATTACTTGAATGTTAAACAATATACTGTAATAATAATCTATTAATTAATTTCCTACAAAGACTGAAGATCCCATTGTAGAGAAATTATATGAAAGTACAGAAGAAGGTCAGAAAGTTACGAGGAACAAAGGAGAAAAGTTTTTGGCTGTGTTCAGACGAATTTCAGATCCATGTACAAAGGAAATTAGTTAGTATCAAGTGTAGTATTGTACTTAGGTATTTACTATTTAATTTTCCTCTACAAATGACACTCTAAATATTCCTTTCGTATGATGATTTATCTCTGGATTAGTATGCAAGGGAACATCTAGAAAAAACATTTATACAATCAAAACATGAATATTATTAAAGAATTGATTTTTAAAAAATTGTGACTTCGATATTACCTTTTCCATCAGGTTTATATTTTTTCAATATAGTTTTGATGTAATTATCATGCCTTACATCTCCCTGTGAAATTAAATGAGCCATGTCTAAAGAAAATTCTTCATGTAATATGAGAAACAATACCTAAAAGGAAATATGAATTACTCGAAATTTCATAAGGACCAAAAAATTTACGAACCGATTTTATTATCGTTATACATACTTCTTCTAATACGGAATTAATAAATGTTAATGGAGGCGAAATAAACGATCTTTTTATTAATCTTTTTCGCTGAGTCAGGTTTATCGCAAATTGAGAATAATATAATTTTGTTTTAGGAATTAAACTTTCTTTCATGGTTTTCATAAATCTCCTACCATTAACAATATCCCTAAAAAGTATGAATTTTAATATTTTATTATAAGGTGCGTTTAATTTTTATTATTTCAAATATTTTAAAATGAAACTGTGATTTACCATAGTAAACCTTCCAAAAGAAACGTGGCTATGTTAAGTTCTTTCTCCCTTCTCGGTATATTGTAATTGTCACTGTCATCGAGAAAAATTGCATTTGATGGTGCAGCTTCCAATTCTTCTTTCAAGCTGACTCTTATGCCTTCATCTTCTATGGAATATATGGTGCAACGAAAACTCAATGTTTTGTGAAATGTATATGGTTTGTCTAGTATCTTTAACCACGGTTTCTACGAGAACAATAGTCCCGGTAAAAACATGAATAATATATACAGTTTGTTTCGGAATTAATTACTTACTGGGACAGTAACGCCCTTTTCGGTGATAATAAATTGTCCTTCCAATTCTTTGCTTAAAAGATCATACTTCAGAACACTCCTCCGATATGCGCGTTCCATACTGGCATTAGTAAATTCACAGAATATGTCAAGGTTGCATCTGCATGGACATCCCCTTGTAAAAAGTTTCAGCTTAAAACTCTTCACAGTGTGTGGACCGATTATTCCTTTACGAGGAAATACCTCAACATTAAGGATTTCTGATGCATGTTCGCTAAATCAGTTTAAACTTTTTAATGAGTTTATGGAAATGAAAAAACAGCTTGATTAATTGCAAGTTTGAAACGGTACCATTTCCATTCGAAACCAAGCGCATCATGGTCCAAATTATTTTGTATGAAAATCATTCTAATAATGGCGTTATGCATTGGGAGAGACCACATATCTATGCAATCTATATTGAAATACACTGGAAATTCTAAAGTACTGCCGGTACAATAACTCGGTATTGATTTCCCGACAACAGTTGATCTGAGATCACCGGATGACATTCCTTCTAATTTCAGTTTCAGTTTATGATGACCCAATGTTATGGGAACTATTGCCTTGTGGGGAAAGAACATTCTATATTATTTTCGTTAATGTTTTAAATTGCGAATTACACATTTTTGTACCTCGAATAGACCAAACATTCTGGGCTGAAATTTTAGAAGCAAAGATACTGCTGATCGAGCTTCCACAATGCCACACGTAGTTAAACAGGAAAATACTTCACAATGATATTGTTCGTTGATCTTAGATATATCATCGATGTTCACATCATACGCTAAATTCTCATTCGTAATGTTACGTATCCATTGCGCCTATAATTTTATTTACTTCCACTTCATGTTAATACCGAAGAAATCGATAAAATTAATTGTTACTTTATACACTGCATCCCTGTTTCCAAAATAAATCAGGCCAAATCTTGCGCAGGATTCGTACAGAAAGTTGTATTCCTTCTCCGATTCAGATATGCAATCAATTAACATATTTAAAATAATATGACGATTATGTCCTATATTCAAGTCCCAAGATAACTCTGTTCTCCCGAGAACTGTGTTATAGACCTCCATGTTGAGTACTGTTTCCGAGTACCCCTAAAAAATGTTATATGGTGTTAATGAAACTATTGTTACTACAGATCATATTCAATAAATAAAAGTATAGTACTTCTAATGTGCCAAAAGGTGGTTGCAGAATGCAAATTTTCCGATGAAAGCAATCGAACTCTTTCTTCTCCAACGAACTGCGCGTCTTCTTCAGAACAGGTTTGCAGCCACATGGTTGCATCTTAAAGCTCCAAGAAATCAAAAATTTTGAGCAATTCCTTAAAACCAATTTTATAGAAACACTTTCATGGTTTACAACCACTGGAAAAAATTCTACATTCCATTTCTCTCTTTCCCCTGGCAATATTCTTGCAAGAATTGTATTTAATCTAAAAGAAAAACAATTAGATATTCAATCGAAATAATCATTACCTATAAATCGTGTGTTTTTTTTTTATTTACTTGATCATACCTATCTATTTCCAGAGCTTTCCACAAAAATGGTTTGCTTACATTCAGTGGAGATTTCTGCTCGATTCCGTAAGCACATACGTTGCACACCTGTTTTATGTAATAAATTTTATTTAAAATTAATAAATTATTATGCGATTCAAATATTATCTAGCATATAATTAAGAAAAATCTTACTTTTAAAGTGGGCAATATACACATACAATATACAGTACAGACTCTGATAGGAACTTGATTAGATAAGACAGTATCCACTCTACAATTTTTTCTGATCAAGTACTGAACAACAAATTCATAATAACCAGCTGTACGTGGTGTAATTGAGATCGTGATTGTTTTGTGATAGCCAGAAAAAATAGTTCCTACATCAGGTCGTATCTGAACATCCTGTTCAAGATCCCCAAGTGGCCAATTTAGGTACGTACAGATTAATTTGTAATAAATATTTACTTGACTATGATTGTACAAATTAAATGTCAGTATTTTGTTGGAATTGTATTGCATCTCTTGAAAGTTTAATTCGCTGGGATTTGCCTGAAACGGACGGCGAATTTTTCAGTTAACATCGTAGAATTAAAAAAAATAATGCATGGAGATTTGACTTTTTGGGAAGAAATTTTACCATCAAAGATCCCTCTTCGCATCTTCCGCGAACTCGCAGAATCACACAATTCTTCACTCCAACAATATTATTATTCTTCAGAACACATAGTAGGCATTTTACCTCGACATCATAATCAACGTATGGTTCGGTCGGTTCGAACGAACATTCTTGCAACAAAATTTCATTCGGCTCAATTTCTCCGCTCACTGTCTGCATAGTGATCGTTGGCATTTCATAAAACTTGTATCTATTATACCAATACGTCGATATATGAATAATGTGTCAAGTAGGCCAATTTCCGGGACAAATTCCCATTGATTTACTTAATCTTATGTCTCGTGACGTTTCGAAATCCAAGTTCCTTAAACTGCTGACATCGCGGCAATGTCACCGCGAAATCTAATACACCGCCGTTCAGGAACATTATATTTGCATACTCTGCGTAGCCCTTGAAGTCTATGTAACTTGCGTTCTTGGTATTCCCGTTGAAATATATTGTCCACCGTTCTAGATAAATCTGTTCGTCCTCGATTTTCGGCGACATTTCTACCATAATTATTTGAAAATTCCTAAAATATATCAATGAAAATAAAACGAACAATTAAAACTAAAATACCGTGTCACGCTGCATCAACGATTTAATTCATGTGCAGGCGCTGTAATGATTATGAGAGATAATGACCGGCCCCCTCAGCTGAATCATAGCAGCGTGACACCGGTCTAACACAATTGATTCAAATCTATATCGGGTTCCGCCGATCCTATCGCAAACGAAGTCTATATTATGAACAAATAATATGATATAATCATCGTACTCGTGAATCAAGCCGAGCATTGGCTTTACAGTGAAACGACAGTTCGGTGGTGGAACAAATTGAAACATCAGGGGTAAATGACCGAACTTTCTGAGCAGGAACGTCGTGTAGACCGGATGTGGAGGCACACACGGCGGCATTATTACAGTTTGAGGTATTTCGTATTGCGGAATCCATCCGTTCGATGTAGCAGGAAACGAATGACCTAGAAATGGTATAAATTACTACAAATTCAATTGATAAAATATTAAAATAAAACGTCTAGTATTGCGAAATTATAACTTGATCTTTAATTAAATTTAACCCGACCTATTACTGTAATCGTTATGACAAACGGAAATACGATGTCCTCCGTGTGTTTTGTGAAAATGGAAGCGACAATCTCGCGTCCAAATAAATTGTTGCTTGCGTTCGGATTGAAAAAAAGTTCAAACAATGCTGAGTGGTTCCCTCTTACATGCAGTTCTCTTGGCTTCACGTTGAAAACGTTACTATCATCTGTATCAATATTAATATGTGTTAATTGTCAAAAAAAGAAGTTAGTAAATTATACTACTCCAGTTATTGAGATAAAGAAGTTAGTAAATTATGCTACTCCAGAGAGAGTTATTTAGATAAAGAAGTTAGTAAATTATACTATTNTGATTGTTTTGTGATAGCCAGAAAAAATAGTTCCTACATCAGGTCGTATCTGAACATCCTGTTCAAGATCCCCAAGTGGCCAATTTAGGTACGTACAGATTAATTTGTAATAAATATTTACTTGACTATGATTGTACAAATTAAATGTCAGTATTTTGTTGGAATTGTATTGCATCTCTTGAAAGTTTAATTCGCTGGGATTTGCCTGAAACGGACGGCGAATTTTTCAGTTAACATCGTAGAATTAAAAAAAATAATGCATGGAGATTTGACTTTTTGGGAAGAAATTTTACCATCAAAGATCCCTCTTCGCATCTTCCGCGAACTCGCAGAATCACACAATTCTTCACTCCAACAATATTATTATTCTTCAGAACACATAGTAGGCATTTTACCTCGACATCATAATCAACGTATGGTTCGGTCGGTTCGAACGAACATTCTTGCAACAAAATTTCATTCGGCTCAATTTCTCCGCTCACTGTCTGCATAGTGATCGTTGGCATTTCATAAAACTTGTATCTATTATACCAATACGTCGATATATGAATAATGTGTCAAGTAGGCCAATTTCCGGGACAAATTCCCATTGATTTACTTAATCTTATGTCTCGTGACGTTTCGAAATCCAAGTTCCTTAAACTGCTGACATCGCGGCAATGTCACCGCGAAATCTAATACACCGCCGTTCAGGAACATTATATTTGCATACTCTGCGTAGCCCTTGAAGTCTATGTAACTTGCGTTCTTGGTATTCCCGTTGAAATATATTGTCCACCGTTCTAGATAAATCTGTTCGTCCTCGATTTTCGGCGACATTTCTACCATAATTATTTGAAAATTCCTAAAATATATCAATGAAAATAAAACGAACAATTAAAACTAAAATACCGTGTCACGCTGCATCAACGATTTAATTCATGTGCAGGCGCTGTAATGATTATGAGAGATAATGACCGGCCCCCTCAGCTGAATCATAGCAGCGTGACACCGGTCTAACACAATTGATTCAAATCTATATCGGGTTCCGCCGATCCTATCGCAAACGAAGTCTATATTATGAACAAATAATATGATATAATCATCGTACTCGTGAATCAAGCCGAGCATTGGCTTTACAGTGAAACGACAGTTCGGTGGTGGAACAAATTGAAACATCAGGGGTAAATGACCGAACTTTCTGAGCAGGAACGTCGTGTAGACCGGATGTGGAGGCACACACGGCGGCATTATTACAGTTTGAGGTATTTCGTATTGCGGAATCCATCCGTTCGATGTAGCAGGAAACGAATGACCTAGAAATGGTATAAATTACTACAAATTCAATTGATAAAATATTAAAATAAAACGTCTAGTATTGCGAAATTATAACTTGATCTTTAATTAAATTTAACCCGACCTATTACTGTAATCGTTATGACAAACGGAAATACGATGTCCTCCGTGTGTTTTGTGAAAATGGAAGCGACAATCTCGCGTCCAAATAAATTGTTGCTTGCGTTCGGATTGAAAAAAAGTTCAAACAATGCTGAGTGGTTCCCTCTTACATGCAGTTCTCTTGGCTTCACGTTGAAAACGTTACTATCATCTGTATCAATATTAATATGTGTTAATTGTCAAAAAAAGAAGTTAGTAAATTATACTACTCCAGTTATTGAGATAAAGAAGTTAGTAAATTATGCTACTCCAGTTATTGAGATAAAGAAGTTAGTAAATTATGCTACTCCAGAGAGAGTTATTTAGATAAAGAAGTTAGTAAATTATACTATTCCAGTTATTGAGCTAAAGAAGTTAGTAAATTATACTACTCCAGTTATTTAGATATTGTCACCTTTTTCCCAAACGATTAATAAATCAGACGAACTGTGATTGGTAAGACACACTGCTTGTGGAATCCTGTGACCGATACTTTCCGTTTCAAATTCAGTGCGGCCGAAATTGAAATAATTTTTCGATAAAGACACAGAAGGCAAGTCGCTGATTGTGTCCACGCAATCGTTTATAAATCCTGCAAAGCCATTTGTTTCTCCCGGAGGAAAATTAAAATAACTTAAATCCTCCTTCTTGAAAGACGCGCTACGGTATCCGTATAGATCTATGACGATCGGCTCCTGATTTCATAGAAAATTTGTCATTAACATTAATTAATTCCGGATCTCGAAACTGTTTAATTTACCTGATGCAGAATTAAGATAAACAAACGGTAACTATAAATTCCGTCCCCCAGCGAAGTGAACGTAATCGTCACGTATTTGTAGGAACAAGGATGGATGCAGCCGTATTTCTTATCCAATTTAAATGGTTGGTAATTATCGTCCATAGCGAACATGAAAAGAGCCGATGCCCTTGAATTATTTATAAGTTTGATCCGCCATTTTGGTTCAGGATTCTTGTCGGTACTTATCAGGACTATTCTCGACGTCGAACAAGTCACGTGCGGGCCTTAAAAAAAATATTTAACATGAAAAACGAAAGAAAATGATTTCGTTATTGCACAGGGTGAGCAACAAAAAATTACTATGTACAAGATCATTCGCAATAGTGTCTAAGAAAATTACTTTTAAATAAATTCAATTGAAATAATGTTGCATTCCTTAATTGTAGCTCGATAATGAAAAATTTAGATCATTCGTCGATTCGCGAGTCATTAAATTCATCTCGACGATAATAAAATTTATAACATCCTACTTAAAAAGAGAAAATTTCTTTCTATTGTTGCGACCATTAAAATTTGAAAAATACTCGTGAATCTAAGTTTTATCGTTCCACCCTGTACACGTAATTAAATTCAATATTCCATTATGCGCACCGATGCAAGACCCATGGGTAATTATTTTTGAGCAAGCTCCGACAGAGTCTGTGATGGTAAAATAATCCACGTTTACCGAGGATACAACGTACGGTTTGTAACGTATTTCGCACACAAATTTTTCTTTCGGCGCCAGCACCCAAGTATAATAACGTAAATGAAAAACATGGTCCAGAGGATTCGTGATTGGATCTCGTTGGGCTTGATAGGTCAATTCATACTGTAAAAAATTTATAAACACGCGTCTCGTAATTTTTAAGTAATCTCAATTTTGATACCCTTCCTCCTATCTTTCTGGTCTTAAATTACCGCTAACGCGAGAACCGGATATTTACTTACGCAGGACTCGTTCAATAAATCTATGGTTTTTACAGCTGTTTTACCGACTTCTACCTCCTCGAAATTTAACCGGATCGTCGTCACGTTGTTCCCAGTATTTTCATACATCCCTCGATGGCTTCGTCCACGTTATGAATAAAAATGATTTTTTCGTCTCGACGCGTACGTATTCTCGTTTTGAAAACGCGGAGAGTCACAGGGATCGTCGATCTCAAGAATCATTCTCTTTCTCTCTCCTTCTCCCGGACATGAGAGACGCATTCGTTTTGTTTTGATACGTGGATGACGTATCCTCGAAGACGGTGAATCGAACCTGAACTATTCCGTGAAAATTACCTACGTCTTCCGATTTTTCACTCAGTCTCTCTGCTAGTGCCGTGGTGAATCGCCGAGAAATTAATCACGGTCTTGATTATTCGTTAATCAACGGTGACGTTAACCGTATCCTTTATGGCTTTCTGACAGTTCCTGCGAAAATGGCTCGATGGGACGTTTTGTATCTTTTGTGTTTGATGCTCCTTGCAAACAATTACGTAAACTACAGCTCGTGCACATATTATGGTCGTCACTATGATAAATGTGAGTTCATCATATCGAATTCAATCGATCTTTCCCATAAATTTCGGAATATTTTATGTATAACCTCTTCTCCCTTAAGATGGTCTGGAGTCAGAGAAAATTTGCCACAGACTTGGCTTTAAGTCAACCATAGAGATTAGCGAGCTAGCCGCAGTGGTCTTACCTAAACACATGTTTGAACGTTGGGAGGTTCTCCAAAATGTTCACTGCAAATTTGTTATGAAGGCAGCTAAGGGGGATGGTCTGTTCGGTGTTATTCAGAAACTGTCATTTAGAAAGAACGAGACACAGTGCTTAGATTATGTGCAGGTAAATACTTTTATCTCATTCAGTGGTTTTTAATTAATATCATTATCTATATTGTAACATTTGTAACTGAAAACCACTGGTTTAGTTGATATTATTATTATGCAGAAAAATTGTTAAAATTTAATGTTTTAGTTTAAAAGGAAGGATGATCATCGGACAGAAAGATTCTGTGGTACATTGGATCGCAGTAGAACTAAGTATTACCCTGTTCCTGAACCAGAGCATAGCATGTACTCGTCTGAACCTGTATTAACAGCAAGGACTTTTGCCGAATATGATCCAAGCGGACGCAAGTCTGGAGGAGAATTGGAGACTGAAATATTTATCTCCAAAAACAAGTTACAAGACGAAGAATTTCTTGCTCTCAGCATTGTTTATACTCCATTTAAAAGTATATTCAATTTATCTTGATACTTATTACAATTATAATTACATTGCTCTATTAATTATATTATACTTTAATAAGCCATGCATTTAATTAACATTCATTATTTGCAGACTGTAACAACACAGATCCAACCAAATACACATCAATTGGCATGGACACCTGTTTAAAAAATGACTTTTTCTGTGATGGGATTTATAATTGTGCACCAAAAATATGTTCAGATGAGGACAAGTGTCCAACTAATGCCAATGAATTTATTAGCACTGGTACTGGTACTAAAGTAACCGTGGGTGCAGTGACTACGATGATACTGTGTTTTATTATATTCATTATGGGTTTATGGATATGCAAAAGATCACAGAAGTTATGTTGGTCTCTGGATTGTGCTGATCCAACGGTATGCTCATCGAGACCTGGTCCACTGCCACATGAAACTGAAGGAACTGTAAATCCACCAGTACCTACGGCGCCAATGTTGGAGGTCGCTGTGTCTTCGACTGTCGCTGACAAAGATCTACCACCAAGTTACGATTCATTATTCCCAGAACAAAGTAATACTGTTAGATCATAATAACAAAGCAATCGTAAGTTATTAAATATAAGTGATAACTATTGACAGCTTATTATCTAATGTTTTAATTAGATACTGCTGTGCACAGTGCAGTCTTCATATGTATATGGTATGAATGAGTGCCTTTCTGAATGAAAATGATATACAGTTACGTACACAAACATCCATAAGAACAAAACTATTAGAAATTTCATTTTTTTTTTTAGGGTTTTATACCGAGAACTTTTCTATACTGTTTCTATTTACAACAATGTTGTAAATTTTGATATCCTGTTACATTTAAAACTTACTGTTTCTATCGTCCCAGTAATAAATACTCTTTTGCCATAGATAAGAAAATACACGTATACAATTAACGGCTGTACACGCGAGTTAACACGATAGTGATCATTCCATTTACTACAACGAATTATGTTAAAAAAAAGACTTTTCGATCACAATTAGTAAGACCTTTTTCTATATGTTAGAAAACGTACTGTAATTAATAAGTGTAATATTTATACGAAATTGTTTCGAAATCGTGTCAAAATACTTACGACTCATTGTAAGTAACTGAATTAAAGCATCATTTAATATTGGTACTCTACATTAGGATAATCTATGCAACTATTATATCCTTATATCGACATGTGTATTTATTATGATGTAAAACGGTAGATCTGCGTATTTTACGAACACCGAATAATACAATTTATACATATGTAAGATATTTATAATGTTTTTATACATGTACGAAGTATAAAAATTTTATAGTATTATACAATCTCTACGAACATGTGAATATCTAAAAAATTTATTTGTTAGGAATCTCTTTATACACGTATACACGGCAAATTTGTGTAAATATTAAATTTGTAATAAAAATCTTAAAAAATGATTAATATTCATCCAGTTTCTATTCTTGCGAGTTTACACCCTCGGATTTTTCTGGACTGATATGTTCGTGTAACCATAAACATGTGTTAATAATATTATCAATTTCCACTGGTCCTGTAGCTAGAGGATGATTGTCCTCGTAAAGGAGCAGTCTGCAAAGAAATTCAATTTGAAATTATGCATTTCTCCAATTAAAATAACAAATTCAAAACGTTTTAAAGACATAAAAAACGTAGCATAATTTCTTATAGCTCACTTTGTCTTAACGTTATTTGCTTTGAGTCGCTGATACCACAGCTTTCCTTGAGATGGTGGCACTCGCAAATCGTTTGAGCCTATGCATAATAAAGTTGGCGCCTTGACCTTGCCAACATGAATGATCGGAGAACACTTGAACATTTTCACAACCATTTCAACTTGTGCTTCCTCCGGTAACAGCTTGCTTTCGTCGAAATGATAATTCGCCTCAGCGGAACACCTAGAATAATCAATAAAAACAAAATTGTGGATCCTATAGAATAGACATTGTACACGATATTCCGCATTTTTCCATTAAAGCATCGTTATAGTTATGCGTTAGTCACTCTTTGTTTCTTAAGATATCTTGTTCTACATTTGCGCTTACACATCGTGATGGTACTTAATTTTCTCTTCCTTAGTCAAAGCATTGCGACTGCAATATAATTGAGACAATTCAGAGCTATGAACGATCTTTAAAAAATACATTAATATTTTACCAGTCTGGGATGTCTGATATCGTAAACATGGCGGCGATGTCGATTACTGGGTTCCTCGCGACGACAACTTTGTAGAGGTCCTACAAATATAATTGTTACATTATACGTACTAAACGCTTTGAGTTGTATAGTGCATTGACTTACTGGATGTTGTCCGCTCAAATGAGTCACTAAAAATCCACCGTGTGATCCACCGGTGATTCCTATTTGATCCGGATTCAACCATGGATATCTTTTCAAAGCTTCTTTTGTAGCAGTTACGCAATCTTGTACATCAACGTTTCCAACATTTCCTTGAAGGTACTCAACATTCTTAGAACCCATTCCAGCTGAGCCACGATAGTTAACTTGCACAACGGCAAAACCTTGAATGTAATCACTGTTATTTATCTTACACAAAGTGAAATTTAGCATGTAATATTTACCTGACAACACAAACAAATAATAATCCAGTACGAACTGGTTTGCATAATTCATATGAGGTCCACCATGTGGTGTAATGATTAATGGCACAGATTTGTCATCCCCACCCTTTGGTCCAAAGTAAATGTAATTGAAGTGTTCTACAATGTTTAAAAAGTTTAGCATAAACAGATAAATTAGAATACATGAATTGGAGTATTTTAGCTACTCACTAATGTCGTCGCTATTATCGTAATCATAATCGCAGAGGTCGTACATTAAGTTCTCGGAACCAGGAATCGTTGTAGAAGTGGTGATTTTACTTCTTGGTATGCCACCATCATCAATTGCCTTTATGTCAAATTTTCCAACTACAAGGACAGTAGGATCTAAGAGAGATGTTTGCAAGAATGCGATAACGTCGTTCTTCACATCCAAAATAGTTAGGCTGCTTTTATCATTCAGAATCTCGATTACAGCCTTTGCTTCTGCAAATAATATGTTTCTTAATCAGTACTGTATTCAACGAAAATTTGATTTAGATTAAATGTATCTGTCTTACTTACTTATATCAACGATATATGAGCGTATATTATTTTGTTGAGGTGTACTTAAAAATATATATTCTGAGTCGTCGCTCCAACATCGACGTGATAACCGACCATATAAACCATAGAATTGCTTAGAATTTTTAATAGCTATACTAGTAGGTACGATATCTATGAGTATATTGACCTAGAAGAAAATAAATATGTACAAAAAAGAAAAGGTATATTCTATCAATACTTTAATATGCACAAACCATTTGTTTTTTGGACTCAATATCTAAATGCATTAGCCTGTGAGCATTGTTGTGTGCACCACCAGCTTCTCTTTCCAACCAAATTAAGTTTTTCCCATTAGGGCTGAGCCGGGGACAACGAACAGCACATCCATCACTAGAGAGTTTTTCTAAAAAATGTATGCACATTCATTGTATTTTAAATTAGAAATCTATATATTATATTTATAACAAAATAATTCTTACTGAATTCTCCATTCTTCCACAAAAATATCCAAGACAGTCTATTGGTACATGCAATAAGACCTAAATGCCTTGGTTCATGTTTCCATGCTACACCAATTATTCCCTGATTATCATTCATCCATAATACTTGACCTGGTGATAGTTCATCAGGTATATTTGAGAGGGTTGATATTGTGTCTGTTGTGGTATCGAGAACTGCAACCACTGGTTTATGTTTACCAACTAATTGTTCTCCCCAATGAGCTTTGTAAAGATATTCATTACCCTGTTCCAAACATTTTATCATAATTAACATTTGATCAAGAGATTGGCACGATGGAAATCAAAATATCTTACCGCAGATGCTTCGTTCTCCTCTTTCTTATCCTTATCTTCCGAATTAAGAGATTTTTGTTTATAAAATGGTTTCGATTTTGGAAGTTTCTTTTCTGCAATATACAGAATTTTTGTTTGATTTGGTGACCACTCGAATGAAGAAAATTCAGCTGCAGACAAAAATGAAACATATAATTTCTTGTGTGCTAATTATTAGGGGAATAATATTGAATATGTAAAATTTAATCACAGTCTGTGTACACATCTCCATGAACATCTAAGACAGCTAAGTCATAATTCTTTACAAGCTTGTGCTTATCCCAGATTTCAATGAATTGTTTTGTAGTATTATCAACTGTAGCTTGTCTTAATACTGCTCTTCGCTGTTCATCCTCAGTAGATGCAGATAAAAGTCTAAAATGGATAATCTATGTGAAAAACACACTTTGTGAACATAATATACTTTTAAAACATAACATACTCTGTTGTAATATCAATAGGAAAACTTTCAGATAGAAGTTGTAATTTTGAATCCAAAATATAGTTTTGACAGAACTTTTGATTCATCCTTCTTTCCAAGTTCCTTTGTGACCATCCACCCAAAATTGATATTTCATTCTCCTTAACTTGAAGAATCTTTGCACCATTTAAGGATGGATTTCGTGCTAATGTCCTATACAAATTGACAATCTTTTCTACCTATAAATATTAATGCCTGTATTAATTTGTTTACAAATAAAACTGTTGCATAATTTTATCATAAAAAAAGAATATGCGTAAAATTTATCTTAACGTATTGATTACCTGAGGCGATGCCATTTTACGGAGAGATATTTATTCCACCAATTCAGTTATCAAAATGCAATGAATCTGCTGTAAAAGTGATTTCGATAAGATCTTGATAAGAGCTGGGCGCAGATAAGATGTGCAAATATGGAATAGATAAAGTTCAAAATCAGAGCTCGTTACATTATCATGTACTGCTAATAGAGATTAAAAAATTCAGAAAACAACGCAAAAAATTCGCAGGCTTCTATAAAGGGAGGCAAAAAAATAGTTTTGAAACTTGAATAGGTTATTTTTTCACAGTTATTCTGGAATGTTAAAGTATTCATTTGTATTTATTGCAATTGAGACTTAAAACACATATCAATTATTTATGAAATAAAAGAAAACTGTAAATAATAAATTCTGCTTCGGTTATTTAATTTTCAAGTATCGAATACCAAATTTATAGTCAGTGTTAAAAATGTATCAAAATGATGATGTACAATATACAATTCTTTTGATCTAAAACTATTACACTATCTAAATGAGAAAATTTAATGTTTAATTCTATCTCAACACATTTATTCGTTAGGCCATGATGATGACTAAATAAAAAAATTGTATCTTTTCAGGATTTGAAATTTGCAATCGTTAGGTTGGTGACCCTAGGTGAGGAAATAAATGGCGCCACATTCGAAAATGTTTTCCTAGATGACATCAAATAGCTATTGGTTTTCTTTAAAGCAGTTCTTTATTTTACATTAATTTGCAGTACTTTCATATCACAATATCGATACAACACTACGGTGACCTTGCCTTATCTGTGTAACGAAAACATGTTAAGAGAAACTGAATTAAACAAATTTATTTACAGTGTATAATTTTACAAGTGTATCCGAGACACATTTGCGGCTCTTTGAATCATGTATATGTACAGTTTACAACAACACACGTGGCTTTACTAACTTCATACGTATAAAAATAATTATAAATTGTTTTTTTTTTACCTCGATTCATTCAGCTATTTTAAATTAATACAAATACACGACACTATCGATATACAGGACTGCTTATTGGTAGATTGCGGATGTGTATGCATTTTTTTTAACTCTATATACTAACTCACGGAGTCAAAGAAATATTGATTTCAATAATTAGGGAATAGAGAAGCATACTGAGAGTAAAATCAGAACTTCGTTCATTATATGCGAATTTCTTGTTCCACTGTGTTCTAATATTTACACATGCCACAAATGCATAAGATCTACTGTCTAGTTGTTATATGTACTAAGACAATGCTTCGCCACGAAAAAATGTATATAAATATACTTCTCCCCCTTTTTTCCGATGCACTATTACAGTTTCAATGTAAACGTTTGGTAAGAGCCACGACTCCTCTAACTTTGCTTAAAATCTTAATTATACAAACGTTAACTAAGCTAACATGTTTAAAAAATTATTGTACGTTGCAAAGGCTTCAACTATAATTATTTTTCCAGAATAATAGAATCATCAAGCGATTCGACTAAAACGATCTCGACCAAACAGGTGCGTTAAACGTTGTTCTCCCTCTAAGTTCAAATCGTAAAAGAATATACACACATATACATTAATAATTGTACTCATGCGAACATCAGTCGTGTGTTGAAACCTATTCGAAGGCCATCGAAAAAATCTAGTATCAAACACTTATAACACTAAAAAAAAAAGAACGCTTATCGATCGCCAATTGTTTCATCGAAAATGGACAACGAGATTGACCGATTCCTATTTTAAATATAAAAAGACAGCTTCCTTTTGCGCATTCGTAAACAATACTTTCAACGATTCAACATAATCTCAGAAATTTTTCAAAATGTTTCATAATATTAAAACACGTTCAAGTGGTGTTATGCTATCGGTCATTTAACTTCAAGTGCTCTCTAATTAATAAACTTCCTAAAGATTGATATTAGTATCACTCCTCTGCTAAGAACGTGACGCGTTGTTGAAAATACGATAAAATATCTCCCGAATTTCGAAACAATTATAAACTTTCTGTTCTCAATCAAACGTCCACGCTTTAACGATGCGCAATCGCAATGGGGATTAGTATACGTATGCAACAGCGACTCACAAGTTTATTTACGTGCAGTGGAAACAATAATTCAGAGTAAAAATTATTTTGTTGTGACATCTATTTACTTTCTTTATTATTTCTATCATTCTTCCGTAGTACTTTCGTTTAAATATTGATATTAAACTTAATATCTTAGCAGCCTTACAGAGTTTCTGTAATAACAATTTGGCCGTTCCTCCACGTAATATAACAATATTGAAAGTACAGTAAAGTAGTCATTGAATTGTCAATAAATAATATCGAGTTGATCGAAGATCTTTTTATGATTTGCGATTATGAAAATAAGTTCTGCTTCGTTGAATTGAATTCTAAAGCTACGGTACACCGCCTTTTTTTCTACATCTGCTTTAACATATTTCCGTCATTAGTGTAGCTTCTTGTTTATGAGAATTATTTTATTGTTAGGCAACAAACGTTAAAGGAAAAGCTGAAGGCTGTTTGACCAACTGTAATAGTAGCCGTAACTCGATAAAAATTTAAGGCTTGCACGACCCGGCGTGATACAGTCATTACAGTCATCATTATTGAGGCTTTCACGACTTGCCGTGGTGCGGTCATCATTGTTCAGGCTTTCACGATCCGGCGTGTTATAGTCATTTACTGGACTGCGAATTTCACGCATTATCTAAATTATCTAAAACTCAATGCACTCGGACATTTAATAAAATTCTAACATTTGCATAAAGATCTAACGATTACCAGAGAGTTTCGTGCGCTTTTAGAAAGTGCATTTTTAAAGCCAAAGAAATTAATTTCGGCTTCCGCCTTTCCAAATTACGCCCGAACAATTTCGATTTTCGCATGAACCCCCGCAGTCCGATTACAATTATTAGAGCCGTGTGTCGCACGATCTTGTGAGTCGCTGCGGCAACATTCGAACGGTCGTGTCGCGTACAAAACAGGTGAACCGATTATAATCCAAGGCAATCGTTTGTAATTCCATTATGGTAGCCGGCCGATTCGCCACTTTCGACTCGGTTTTCCCTTTCAATTGCCGAACAGTGCAGCTTTCTGCCTGAATTGCGCTCGCCTCGCCGCCTTGTCCTCCTCCTCGCGCTTCCGTTCCTCTTGTTCCATGCGGATCTCGTCTTCGAATTTGCTCGCCTTCCGTAATTGCTCGATCTACGAAAAAAAAAAAACGGAGAGAAATATAATAATAGACAGAAACCGTGAATCGCGTCGCGCGCAGGAAACCATTAATTGGCGTGGATACGCTTTCGCGAGTCCTGCATCTACTACACGCTATTAGAACCAAGTCATTCATAGTTTCACTCGTTCACAATTTCATTAACACGCTCCGCGAGCCGCGCGCATCATCGCCGCTGCATCTTCTTCTTTCGTTTTTTTTCTATTTCACTGGTCGCTGCTTGCGACGAGCTTTCGATGCAACAAGTGCATCGGTGCGTCTTCTATACGCGTTCGAATACATGGATCCTATTTTAAAATTTATGCAATTCTTCGGACGTTAATTGTTCCCGGTTTTTTTCTCAACCATGTGTTTTCTTTCCAGTTTTTTTTCCATCGACTTTCGTTTGCCAATTTGCCCCAACAATTCACAATGCAGACGCTGCATCTTCAACAACGAAGATAAGCAACGAAGAAGCGGTTAATCTATTCTGCTTAGCTATTGTATTTACGTGATTCTTTTTTTACCGTGTTCTCTTCATTCATACGTACGCGATGAATACACATGAATAAATAAATAAATACATACACATATGTACACGCGCGTCACAGGCGCCTCTTAGAAAAAACATTCGTGCACCGATGCAGCTGCCGCTTCTATTATGCAACCGCGGGCTCGTAAAACCGTAATGACGCATCTGCTCGCGATCGTGCGCCCGGAGAAACATAATTTAGGAATTGAAATCCTCTTATATCCGAATCCAGAAGCGATTCGGTCTGAAAGCTACCTCGGTCGCCGGGGAAGAAATTTTTGGGTCACTGTATTTTGGTGTTTCCACGGCGAAACTCGAACTTTGATCGAGATTAACGACCGTTTCGATTTGCCTTTCTAGCCAAGGAAAGTTTCGAGACGCGATAAACAGAAATTTTATTCTCCGAAACACTTTAAAGCCTTTCGAAGAGTCTTCCGATAACAATAATGGATCATTTTTAAAACTCTCGGCGAGTTTCTTCTGTCAAGTTTCTCTCCGCAGCAATGCCGGATAATGGGAACTTTTAAATACCTTGGCCTCGAAGAAGTGTTTAGCGCCCGTGACACCCACCTCGTCCACGTCGACTTCTGTGAGCCGGGCCAGCTGGCCTAATCCAGAATCCTGTTCTAACTCGCCGGCACGCGCCTTACGGTAGATCAACAGAAACTGCAACACAAGCCAGAAATCGTACATGTTCACCGATATACGTGTCGAAACGACTCGGTTTTCCCGCACGATTCTCAATGGGAAGGCCGGTCAGCGACCACCGTTCCTCCACTTCCGGTTTCGCGATATCTGATCGCCTCGTTCATAGAATTCTCCCGTTTTTCTAGCCCATTCTTTTCGCTCGCGGCTGCGCGCCGCTAATGGCTTCTTTACGACTCGAAGGAAAATTAACTGCGCCCAATCAGCTGTGGCGATTTTATGGAAATCCTAATGTCCTCGAATTCTTTTATGGAAATTTTACGACTTCTGTGAGAAACGGATGCCCTCCGGGTCTGTATTGGTTGCGCATTAGCTCTAAATTAACTCTAGATTAGGTCTGGAGCGTCTGCGATCGAAGCAACTTAGCTCTGGTCGGATTTAATAAACAGCGATGATTCATGTGAAACTATTTCCCAAGAAAAGTGCAGGTTCTGACCCCGGTTCCGGATGGGATCCTTTTCGATCGCGTCTAACGATCGTCTAAAAAAGTTAGCCGACTATGTCCAACCAGCAGTAACGTTTTCACGGAATTTTTTTGCAAGCAAAAATAGGGGCCATGCGGTTCTGAATTGGATCTACGATTACTAGACCGCGGATCTTCATGCAGAATAAAAATCTCTTCCAGCAATTGCAAGAGATTGGGCCAGATATACCGGGAGTCCTATAAATGTCTTGCAATCCAGAGATAGGGGTTCCTGAGGTCATTTGAAGTAACTTTTTCCTTAGCGAAAATGCAATCCGCGGCTTCGTTTACGGGTTATTAACGAAAAACACTGACCAATAAGAGCCGAGCTCGGCTGACGCGAAACGGCCGGGCCAATGAGCGGAACTGGGCTTCGTTGGCTGGGCCGCCTCGCGTCAGTCGAGCTCGCCTCTCATTGGTCAACGTTTTTCGTCAATAACTCGTAAACGAAGCCGCGGATTGCATTTTCGCTAAGGAAAAAGTTTCTTCAAATGACCTCAGGAACCCCCTATTTCTGGATTTCGAGACATTTTCGGGATATCCTGTACATTTCATTCCTTCGTTAATAATTCTAATCGGCTGAAACTAGCCTATTGATATTTTTCGCTTGTCTCAACTCTTTCATCGTTTTGAATTGCACCTTCTCGCTTTTCTGATAAATACATAAAATCCGCTGTCTAATGGATCAGCCACAGCTAGAGCGTCTAATCTGAAAGATAATTAGCTGGCCAGTTTCACAACCGGGCAGCAATGATTTGACGAAAACGTTTCCCGAGGAGGCTGTACAGCTCGGCGACGAAGGACAATCGATCCGCTGGCACAGCGATCTATATCGCCAGGACGGTGACTAATAAAGTAAGAGGAAGGTGAAACACAACGGTGGTCACTGTACACCGGGTTCAGCGTCGTCACGGTGAATCACGTCGCGCGATCTACGGAACCGGTGGCGGCGTGGATCGCATGCATGCAGATCGAACGCTTTGTTTTCGAACCACGAAAAGTCACGTAGGAATGCACCGGGCAGCGATGCATTCGCATCGTGGACTTTCCTTCGATGCGCGGAGCGTGTCCTTGCATTCGCGATTTATCCGCCGCGTTTCCAGCGAAAGTTAGCTAAGGCGCCATGCTCAGCTTCTCCCCCCTGATTCCCATTATTTATGCCGCGATTTAATTACCGTGTGCACACAAAAGATCATCGTCCGATCCGACGATCGTGTGCTCGTTCGATTTTTATTCACGGTCCGCAGCGAACGCGTGTCGCAATGCGATCAAAGGAAAATCGAACGATAAAGAGAAGCAATTGTTGCATTAAAAACGACGAAGAAGCTAATGAAAATCCTTTTATGATCTTTCCTCGAACACGCTGGTCGTCTTTTATTTACGATTAGACCGCGGATCATTATGCGTACTAATTAGTTGAAGATATCTTTTCTCTTTTAAAAATCGTAATAAAAGTTGAAGATAATTTAAATGTCCTCTTAGTTTTATTATTCGACCTGTTATTCACCTTGCTCGCAAATGCATCGGAGAACACGTTTTGGATTTCGAATTCAAATAGCATCGACTGCAAAGGGTTAAAGGGCCGACATCGAAGAAGACGCCCGAAATCTGGAATTTCAGAGCGAGCCATACTTCTCGCCCCCTTCGAAAATGTATTTTAGGGTCAGTTTCGGCTGGTTTGCGCGGTGCCACGTTAAAATAGAACACCATAGACCCCCACGAACGTGGCACAGGCCATGTAAACAGTAGCCATGGTCGAACGACATGCGAGATTCACAGTGAACACCACATGGGGTGCGCTATTTTTACGAGGGTGCCGTGGCACCGTGCTCTCGATGCTTGAGAATTCCAAAAAGTAATAAACCTTTAGCCCCTTCGCCGGGTCGCTCCACGGTCCCGGAAACATCATGATCGGAAGCATGATTTCTAATACGAACGACTACGAAGGACTTTCTCGAAGTTCCTCGAACAACAGGTCTTTCGAAGTCGACGACAGCAATTTCACCGGTAATTCGTAATTGCGCAATGCGGATCGAGCAGAACGCGAATAAAGCGAACGCAAACTTCCCCGCGAACTGGGCGGTTAATTCGCGGTGATGAAACCGCTAAAACGGTCAGAGAACGAAACGATTTCCGTGGTAGAAAGTGAAATGGAACGGGACGGACCCGCGCGCGGCGGCCATTAAACGCTATCCGTCCAGGGGTAGCCGCAACGAACGTAGGAAAGTGCTCATTGTGCCGGCGATTTCCGGCGAAATGGAACAGTTGCGTGAACAATACAGATCCTTTCCTGCTTATTTTGTCAATAACAAAGCGTACGGGGGCGGTCGGTTCGCGAAAATGACTGGTAATCTGTAAAATCGCGAACCTCGCGGAAGGAAATCCGTCCATCGCCGTCCTCGTCCACTTCCTGTATCATCGACTTCAGGCCGAGATGGGTCTGCGGTGCCCCCAAAACCTCCATCATGCGTTTCAGCTCCGACAGGTCCAGGAATCCATCGTGGCCATCGTCGAACCTGCGAATAACAATTATTATTCGATCGTTTAACCAATGTTTTTTAACTAGATCTCTTCCTCGTTAATCATTTTAATCAGAATTCCTTCTTATCATGGATGCGATAATTTTTCAAATATATCATATAATATTTCTTTTATCTTATATATCTTATATATTATCTTATATCTTATATATTATCTTATATCATAATATTTCTTTATATATCTTTATCATAATATTTTCTTTTCTTTCTTTTCTCTTTCTCTAAAGACGCGGATTGCATTTTCGCCGAGGAAAAAGTTACTTCAAATGAACTCAAGAATCACCCTCTCCCGCGTGTTAACATAATTATGGATCACCTTATATGTATAGCTAAATATCGATCATGTGAACGATACTGCTTATTAAAAGTGCTCGAATATCTTACTATATACGTGGTCAAATTATTTTACAATTTAACACGTTATGTGCCGAAACTCACCCCCACAGCGGACGATATTCGATCTCTTTCGCACTCCAAACATTCTAGTTAGATTCAGTTTGCCCGAATCTATCGCAATAAAAATTAATTCTGAGAACTAATCAGAAAAATCAGCGTCACCCAAACGCGAGCGACGCGGCACCGAACGTGTTAACCGACGCACCCTCGCAACATCCCCCTTGCGCCGGACACAATTACGATGCATCGTGCGTCCGGCACGATGGAAATGGATTCGGGATGAAAACGGTACGATAGGTGTCGATCCAGGCCACAATGCTGCGCGAGATTTCCACGTCGGTGGCGATATAATCAGTGGCCAGTGAATCGAGGAGGAATTCCGCGCGGCTCGATCTCGTCTCGGCCGATGCGCGCTATTGGATCGAGAGTTACACCGGTGTAACCATCCTGTGGAAAACCGTCTAGGTTATCGGAATCGTGTACACGGAAAGTCGATTTCACGAGCTTCCGGCTTGCAGACACCGCTGACACATTCTCCACGGGACTTTCGAAATCGAGCGAGCCGCCCGCGTCGCGCCGATTTCGTTCTCACGTCCCTCCTCCTCCTCCTCCATCCCCCTCTCACCCCGCGCCGGTAGACGTCTTCCGATCTAATTATGTTACGCTCCAATTAAAATAACGAGTTACGTGATTAAATAGCAGCGCGGAACACTTTCGTTGGGGGGATCGATTCGAAACCCGACTCGCCCCGCAGGAATCGCGTTTCACGAGGGCAGGATGGATTTTAACGAGAGAGAATAATCGTCCGCTGTGTTGTTCGCGTGCAACCGCGGATCCTTCCATGGGGCTACCGCGAACGTTTTCGCAGATTCTATTGCAGAAATCGGTGGTACGGTCGTTCATTCTGCCACAGAGGTGTTTCAGACGTTTCCGATCGTTTCGCCGCGCCATCGAACGCGGTTCGACAATCAGACTGTGAATGTTGATCCACTATTTATATTTTCTATAATACGTTCACACCCGATAGAAAGACAAGAGGTTTCGATCGAAACTAACGAAAGAGGCTAATGGGCCATCGTTGACCCAGTTTTTTGAAAATAATTATGCGCTCGCGCGCGCTCGATAAAAGGCGAACTTTACGGAAAACAAATCGCCGAGCGTGTGATACAAAGCTCCCGTCGATTTCGATCGATTTTAGCATAATTTTTATTTGATGCGCAGAAGTCGTCGACTGCGCGACTACTATCTTATCGCAAGAGAAATCGTAGTTCGCGAAGGTGTGTCGCGATAGGAGTGACGAACTCGGCGGCTTGATTTTCTTTTTTTTCGGAAACGAGAGTGCTGCTCGATGTCTCTCGAGAAATCAGCGATAAGATGACGAATAAAATGACGAACGATATCGTGGCGCATGTGGCACGCGTATCATTGTGTAACCCTGATGATAGGTTCCGCGAACAGGGAATTCACGATGATTAACAGTTCCCTGGTTCCCAGAATTTTCCACCGCTATTTTTCCAATCGCTCCTTTCCCCGCGAACTGCGACGCCCCGGGGTAATTGTATACGATTATCATTTAATTCGCGCAAGCGAGGATTACACGGGAAAGAATGGTTTCTGGGGACGAAAGCGGCGTTCGAAAGTTGCGGATACCCGGCGAACTGACTGACGGCGTTTCTTGTATTTAAATAACGACCGAGGAGACGCGCGGCGGACCACATTTTTTTCTGCTCGTTATGAAATGCAGATCCGATGCGTCTCCGACGAAAGTGATCGGATCGAGCGCGATACGTCGGAAAACTCTCGCAATCGGCTCATTATAATTATTAAGAAGAAGAATGGCCGCGCGTGTTGCACGTGCATGTTGCAACCGTCGCACACAGTTTCTACCTCGTGAAAAAATCCGCAGCCCGTTCCCGTTTGCGACGTTCGAGCAGTTTCTGTTCGCAAGATTTCTGAGGATCGTATTCGGAGAAATATATAACCGAAATTATATAGTATATTAATATAACATATATATAATTATATATAATTATATTATAAAATAATAATTATAATATAATTATTATATATATAATAATAATTTTATAATTATATAATATATATAATTTATTTTATAATTTTATAATATATATATAATTTATTTTATAATTTTATAATGTATATAATTTATTTTATAATTTTATAATATATCCATGTATATATAATATAATTATAAAATTATTATTTTGCGCGAAGATCAGCTGTCTAATTCCGTTCTCGATGTTCGAACTTTTTTCGCAAAACTGCAGACTTGCAACGAATGCTCGAGCGTGTTTCGGTGTCCGCGCGCCTTTTCTCGAGGATTTAATTAAAAACAAAGTTCGCGATGACTTTTGAACCGTAGGTAGTAGATACAGAGTTGTCGGGCACGGTTTTATCGTCGTCGCTTTCCGCCGCGAGACAGCCTAAGAGGCGGCAACAGCGATATAAAAGACCGAAAGGTCAAGTCTACGTTAAAGATCAAGTAATACCGGCGGGGCTCGTTTCATCCGTCATGATACTCGTGATCCTGAATTCGGGATTTGCTCGGATGAATTTTCGGTGCTATGAGAATTCTGACTCGCACGCATACATACGTATGCATACAAACATACATCATCCGTCCTCTCTCTTTTCCCTGCTCGATAATCCGGCCACGTAGAATCGTGAACAGTGTTTCGGTGGTACGTGTATTCCTGAGTGGGAAGCACAACTTGGAAATTCGTTCTCGGAAGATTGTGAAACGCCTTTTACTCGACCACGAAATCAAAACGCTCCGTCGATTAGCGGCGAGATATGTAAAAATAGAAAAGTATCAGAATTGTAAAAAAAATTGTGGAACTACAGAGAAATAGCAGAAGTATAACAAAAGAAATAGCAGAAGTATAACAAAAGAAATAGCAGAAGTATAATAAAAAAATAGCAGAAACATAACAAAAAATATAGCAGAGGTATAGCAAAAATAGCAGAAGTACAGAAGGATAGCAAAAATATGTAAAAATTGCAAATATGTATAGAAAAGTATCAGTCCTGTAAAAAAATAGTATAACCACAGAAAAATAGCAGAAATATAACAAAAAAATAGTATAACCACAGAAAAATAGCAGAAATATAACAAAAAAATAGTATAACCACAGAAAAATAGCAGAAATATAACAAAAAAAATAGCAAAAATATAACAAAAAAATAGCAGAAGTATAATGAAAATAGCAGAAGTACAGAAGGATAGCAAAAATATGTAAAAATTGCAAATATGTATAGAAAAGTATCAGTCCTGTAAAAAAATAGTATAACCACAGAAAAATAGCATAAGTATAACAAAAAAATAGCAAAAATATAACAAAAAAATAGCAGAAGTACAGAAGGATAGCAAAAATATATAAAAATTGCAAATATGTATAGAAAAGTATCAGACCTGTAAAAAAAAGTAGTAAAACTAAAGAAAAATAGCAGAAGTATAGCAAAAAAGAAAGTAGCAGAAGTATAAAAAAAGTAAGTAAGTATGAAAAAAAAACAGCAGTAGTCTGCCGACGTTGAAATAAATGAAGCTTCGAGTGAGCGGAGTAGGCAGCGTATAATCGGAAGGAAGAATTCAATCAGACATATTATGATAATGAAAAGAAAATGGCTGTGACGAGAGCACGTTCTCTCATCGACTGATTATTCAAACGATCCGTGAAATCGCGGACACGACTGTCTCTCTCGTTCGACAGACACGCGGGGGAGATACGAGTAGCGCCGTAGAAACGCGTACATACATATATCTATAGTCCTCTCCCGCTCTTATTGATCAGCTCGGGCTTGACCGTGCTCATAAACGTGTAACCTCGACCTTCGAATGATTCTTGCACTCTGCGCCGGCGAATCCGTGTCTACGGACGCATGGTAAATGGAAATCGTTGCCCATGCATTATTTAAACGATCGATTTTCACGTTAACCGCGCGTTGCGTTACAATCTTTCAACGTTCACCGCTTAATTGATTTCTCACACGTGCATGTCGCAGGTGACATAGACACGCTGTTGAATGATGGGTCGATGACAGTGCTTGGACAGCGTATTCTTAGCTCGATCGAACTGTTCGATCGTCATTTGTAACATGTAATTCATGTAATTTTAATTGTAATTTGCATTCGACGATGCCGAAAGGTCAAGTCTACGTTAAAGATCAAATAATACCGGCGGGGCTCGTTTCATCCGTCATGATACTCGTGTAATCCTGAATTAATTTATAATTAATTTAATTATCCTTACAATCCTTACGACTCGCGATGAGCGTCAATTAGGGAGAATTTACTGTATCGTCATTCCAATCGAATGCACTTTCCGAACAAACTTTCTCATCGGCGAAAATTTTCGGCCAAATTTCGGCCAAAAAATCGGCCAAATTTTCTCGTCCAGCAAATTAGTCGGGCTATCATCTCGAAAAACAAAATTCAAGTCGCAACGTTATAAATTGAAGGCAAGGCGATCATAGTGCGAGCATAGCCGAAGCTGGAAAGCTGACTTCAGTCGCGCCGGGAGCCCGGCAAAAGTGACGGCGAACAGTGCAATCGGGCCGCG